TTTTTTAAAATCAGGTACCGGTACCATTGATGCTAAGACCTATTTTTCTCCTCCACTTTGTTTCTCATCAAACTATGCTTCCAGGAAAAAAGGCCGAAATTATTTACGATAATGTCTCACGCTGTAAAGTTCCTTTAAGTCAAGAATTTAAAAAAAAAACTTAGGAATACTGTTGTTCAATTGTATAACAAGGGACGTGGATTCTCATGTAACGAGATAACACGGTAGATAACACAGTGTAGACGACATAGATGAATTTAAAAAAATCAGAACTTAAAAGCTATTATGCATTTTAATGTACAAAATGGTATTGTAACTAAACTAAAACTACTGTAGTTAAACTTAATCTTACGTGAAACAAATGTAAACATTGTTTGTATAGTAGAACACTGGTTGAATTTTGATCAGGTAGGTAACTGTTTTAAATTGCTTAGAAACATTTAGTTAAGCTGTTTTTTATTGCAGACAAAAATGTAAGCATGGAGGATCCTGTATACTATTAAAGTCAAATTTAATAGTAAACGTATTTAAATTTATGTTTTGAAGACTATGTTTTTAAAGGGTGCTGTGTTGAGATACCAATTTTAAAAACAATTATTATCTCAATATATCGAGTTGCTGATGTAATAAATTTAAGACATTTATAACAAAGCTAGAATTAGCTCTGTATAATATAACTGGAGACTTCAACATAGATGTATTGGAAAACTGTATAAACAAAGCTGAAAAGACTCTTTTGTAAATATTTTAATATCCTGTAGTTATTTGTATTACAGTACACTCTAAGAGCCTACCCGGATAACACCAACATCTCAAACTTGTATTGACAACATTGTTTGTAATAGGAGGAACAGTAACTCTTAAGTTTTTAAATTTAGAAATAGGGCTGTCTGATTATAGTGCACTATTTACATTTAATGCATTCAGTTTAAACATTAGAATGAAGAAATGTAGCAATATTTTAAGAAAAGGGGTAGGTATTTAATGAAAATAAGACTAAAAGCTTTGTGGAAACACTTCAAGAATGCTCATGGAATGTGTATACAAGAAACAATGTTCATAAAAACTTTTGATTATGATTTAAGCAATTACATGTTAAGTTTCCAACAGAGCTTTCCAGTAAAAGATTATGCAAAATTCTAACAATAGTGTAAAAGCAAAAGGTTGGATTACTCAAGGAATTAGAGAATACCGGTATCAAGTGCCAGGAAAAGAGAAGTAAGAAAGTTGGATACAAATTCTAATAACCAGCAATTTATTCAATATTGTAAGATGTATAAAAAGATAAATCGGTGTGCAGACTATCTAAAGAAACGTTCTCTCAGTAACTACATTCAAACTTCGGTTGACAAAAGTAAGGCTGTCTGGGCAGTTGTAAATTCAGAACTAGGACTGGGTAGAAAGAAATATAGTTTGCCCAATATTGAACATAATAACTAATAAATTGATCAATAGATCTATTATTTTCACTGACAACACTACCCTGGTTGTTAGGCATAGTATTAGCAATGCCATTGAAGGGAACAACTTGGGTTTTGCGCAAATAGGTAATCACTAAATGTAAATAAAACACGAGAAATGTTTTTCTCCATTAAATTTAGATTTCTGGGCTCCACCCTGTTGACTTTAAGTTGACTTGGGATGATCATGTTAACAAAATTTGTAAGAGATTAAAAAGAACACTGCAGCACCTACTTGGAAAATTAAAACTAAATATCATCTGACTGGATGCATTGCATGACGCCCAAGTGCGACGACGTCCAATAATATTATTCAGTGTTACGACGTCCAAAATATAATTTTTGACCTGTTACACGACGTCCAATATAAAATATTTGACTGTTGCACGACGCCCAAGTGCCACGACCTCCAAATGTACAGTAACAACAAAAGTACCTATAGTCTTTCTACAAGCATTGGAAGTCATGAGATTGGTCGTCGTATAACAGCAGACTTAATATTCTTTGAAAAAAGTTGCAGTTGCTCGACGTCCAAAGCCCCAGCTATGTCTGTTGCACGACGTCCAATATAGCTCAGTGCTGTTGCACGACGTCTAAAGTGAATGAATACTATGAGTACTGTTTTACCGTCTATTGGATACTAACCTAACCTAGCCTAACTTAACCTAATCTAACCATGCTTCGTATGCAGGAGCTTTGGACGTCACGCAACAGCGCTGAGTTATTGGACGGTCATGCAACAGCTTTGGACGTCGTGCTACTGGCTTAACAGTGCTTTGGACGTGGTGCTAATGCTATGTTTTTCAAAAGTATAAAGTGCGCTGTTGCACGACGTCCAAAGTTTGTAGAAAGAAAGACTATATTTTTTGAAGCTACTGTACTTTAGGACGTCGAGACACTTGGACATCGTGCAACAGTAAAACATTTTGTATTGGATATCGTACAACAACTAAATTATGTTTTCGACGTCGTGGCACTGAATAATATCATTATACAGGGTGAGTTTTAATTGTCCCCCCCCCAACTTTTTTCTACATTTTTTCAAATATCAATCCCAGACCACTTCCAAACATTGTTGGGTAGTAAGTACTTCATTTTGACAAGGTGGTCATTTCCGGCCGCCATCTTGGATCCGCCATATTGGATGCAAAATTTTTTTTTCAAATGTAAAGGTGGGGTTGTGACCCATTATTTCGAACTACATTTTTACCCTGATTACAATGCCGCAAACCGTTTTTAAAAATCTTGATTCATTCTAAAGTTACGAGGGCTTTTTAAAACTTTATTTTTAGCCCATTTTAACATTGTGCATTTACAAACTAAGACCATAATCCCAAAATAGTGCTAGATAATGATAAGTATACACTACCAGTAATTGTCCACCTATTTTCACTTGGTTATGATTGATGTATTTTTTTCGGCCGCCATCTTGGATCCGCCATTTTGAAATGTGATAAATTATTTTAAATATGAAGGGGGTGTTGTGACCAATCATTTTGAACTACTTTTTTAAGCTAAACTCAATGCCGCAATCCATTTTTTGTTATCAAGTTTTATTTATGAAATATTGAAATTTTTTTGTTAAAAATGTCAATATTTCAAAATCAAAAAATGAAAATGTAAAACGGATTATGGAATTAAGTTCAGCTTAAAAAAGTAGTTCGAAATGATGGGTCACAACACCCCCTTCATATTTAAAATAATTTATCACATTTCAAAATGGCGGATCCAAGATGGCGGCCGAAAAAAATACATCAATCATAACCAAGTGAAAATAGGTGGACAATTACTGGTAGTGTATACTTATCATTATCTAGCACTATTTTGGGATTATGGTCTTAGTTTGTAAATGCACAATGTTAAAATGGGCTAAAAATAAAGTTTTAAAAAGCCCTCGTAACTTTAGAATGAATCAAGATTTTTAAAAACGGTTTGCGGCATTGTAATCAGGGTAAAAATGTAGTTCGAAATAATGGGTCACAACCCCACCTTTACATTTGAAAAAAAAATTTTGCATCCAATATGGCGGATCCAAGATGGCGGCCGGAAATGACCACCTTGTCAAAATGAAGTACTTACTACCCAACAATGTTTAGAAGTGGTCTGGGATTGATATTTGAAAAAATGTAGAAAAAAGTTGGGGGGGGGGACAATTAAAACTCACCCTGTATGTCGTGGTACTTGGACGTCATGCAACACTCCCATCCGACTGTGTGTTATAATGGCGTATCTTGGATTTCTCAATAGCCACATTGTTTTGGGGATCAAGCTGTAGGCCCATTCAAATTCTGAAAAGAGAGTCGCAATAAAAAAATAACTCACGATTCTAGCTGGCGTAGCTCCTTTGGAGGACTGTAAGCCTTTGATTTAAGGAATTCCAGATCCTCTCATTCACAAATGTCTATATTCTGAAATACTAGCTAAAATGTCTCAATGTGTGTAGCTAAGGTAAACATAAGTGGTTACTAACCTGTATGCTCAAAAAGTCAGCACGCAACCATATAAATAGATTAAATATAGATACAATATAGGTGTGTTGTCTAATTCTATAAACTGCTACTAGGTAACTGGATTAATTCAATATGTTGTAAGCCTGCCAGAGAGTCTGAAAGCACTACCAGAAAACCCGTTCCACCAGAAGATTAAATAGTGCTTGTTGGACAAGCCCTGCCCCTGTTATCCTGTGCATAAGTGTACAGTACAGCGTTCTTAGAGCATCAGGGTTGTTAATCCCACGGGTAGATCTTGAGATGAAGCCCAACATTTTGTTGCCCTGTTTACAAATCCCATCAACGTGGTTGGAGAAGCCCATGTCGTGACGGAAGAAAACACCCAGATCCTTTATACCAGTAACTCTTGGGATATCAAGTTATATATCCCCCCGTTCCTCAGTACATACTGCATTACAGGATAACTCTTGTCAATTTACTAATACTAGATAAAACTAATAACAGAAAGTATAATCTAATCAGAAAGTATATACGAGCACAAAATTCTATTTACCTTGAATGTCCTTCATTCACATTTACATTTCTATTACTATACATTTCTTTTATTTTATTTCTGAACGCTGGAACACCCAGCAACTTAAGATCACAGGGGAGGTCGTTATATAACTTGGGCCCAAAGTAAGAAAAGCCTCTCCTGCCAATCTCCAGCCTCACTCTCGGGAAGTGAAACTGCTTGTTCTAGTGTCGAGTATTTGCACCGAGACACACGATCGCGGGAGACCAGTCTTTACATCAGGTAAGCTGGTTCTTTTTTGACCAGTACCCGATGAACCAGAGTGCAGGTTTGCATCCTGCATATTTCAATGAATGTTTCAGATTTCAAATAAAAAATAATCTTTTATGCCTACCTCTACTGTTGTTGATACGTGGTAGTGGTTGTGTTTGTCATGATTTTCATGTAAACAAAAATAAAGCAGTTATTTACTTCTTATAATAATCTATAATATTTTATTTATGTTATTTAGATGGCGCTGACCAGTTTAGCCTCGTTGGCTGCAATCAGCTGTGTAGAAATGCCAAGTCGTACTAACTAAATATTGCCGTCTGGCCTGGCTGTCAATGAGAATGAATGTTTCAGTGTGATCTATATTGAAGTAACCTAAGAAGTTGTTTGAGATATATAGTTATATTTAAATTATTGTAATACATATAATCTCAAAAATGGTGTTAGCAGATTTAGGAAGGAAGATTACTTCCGCCCTCAAATCTCTGAGCAATGCTACAATTATTAATGAAGAAGTGAGTATATTATGATGCTGCCTTGTGTTTTGGAAAGTACTAGGCCTATTGCACCCAATTAAGATTTTAGTACAATATTTGGACAAGTAGTACCATGTAGCCAGTAGTACAGTGTTTTAGTTCTAATACATCTTAGTTTCAGTCATTTAGGCCTACCCCAAGTAACCCTAATACCCTTATTTTGATTTGGTCCCTAAACCTAAACCTCCAACTTCAACATGCCATGGCCTATCCAGTGCTTCAAGTGGGCATTACAGTTTAACATTTTCGAATTACGGTGGACTGTCTGTGCTAGAAATGATAAAATTTCCTATGAAAAGCATTTGTAAAATGAAGGTGAACTAAAGCGAGATTTGTTAAAACAAGGTTGAATTTGCCTTTATTTGTTACCTCTTTTAAAAACAAGGTACTAACTTAGGCCTAGCCTAATGTAAAATACACTCAGGTATAGCAGCCTGTAACTAAGTTAACTTAACTGTATCAAAATCAAAAAATATCCCTGTAATTTTTTTTTATTATGCTACCACAATATATAATAGCTTAGCTAAGACTTACAAGCTTAGAAATGTATTGTATGAGCCTAGAGATTATGATCGTTACATGGTAGTTTCATGCATCATATGACATAGGCCTACTTAACTACAGCTAAGTTAAACAGTGCCGAAATGCTGATTATCAACTAGGTTAAATATCTAGTAGGTAGCCAAATAAAATTGGCCGTTTGATACAGCATTTTTATTTATATTGAGAAATAATAATGATATTGGGTAGTAGTTTATCAAATCGAAATCTATTAGGCCTATACTGATGGCGGTTTTAGGCTCTTTAAAATCTTTTAACATGTTAATTTTTAGGATAGAGACCAAACATAACCTGACATAACTTAACATAATATTCTGTTAAAAAATCTGAAGCCATTATTATAAATATTTTTCAAATTTTATATGTGCAGTAAAACTTTACAAATAAGTTAGGCTAACTTAAATCTATCTATAAAGTCTAGACTATACCAGTGTCCTTTTTAATCTTAAAAGCCTCCACCTGTTGATGCTAAACCTACCTGAACAAAAATTATAAACAAACCTAACTACAGTAGGCCTACTGTAATTTATAACAATGAAGTAGGCCTAGTATTAATTTATGTCTAGAGTACCTTACTTAGTTCCGTTTTATTCAAGTATTTTTTAATGTAGCCTAGCTAATATTAATTGACTGAGCCTCCCCCCTTGAAAAATGTTTTCGATATCTCAGGTGGATTGTTTGTTAAGTCTATCAGTATTGAATGTTTGCAACTCCTACAGCATTTAAACCTTTTGAATAGGTATTGTTTTCTGAACCATATCGATCAATTAAGAGGAAACGGAAAAGATGTACAAATTATGGTACCTACCTAGTAATTGATTAGTGGTTGTTTGTGGTAGGCCTTACCAAATTTCTTATATGTCTGTAGTACAACCATCTACAACATTATTTTACATAAACACATTTTAGATTTGTATTTTAAGCACCTATTGCACTGCATGTAAGGTAAAGTATATTATTTAAAACTCCACACTGGATAGTTTTAACCCTAATAGTAACTTATGTACGATTGACATACGATTGCAGATTCACATGAAGTCAAAAGAGCTAACCATAGACATTTCCGTTACTACCTTGTCTTTGTTTATTTATCAGTGTGTTGCTTTATTATTTTCAGGTCCTGAATTCTATGCTAAAAGAAATATGTGCTGCTTTACTTGAAGCTGATGTTAACATTAAGCTAGTGAAGAAACTCAGGGAAAATGTCCGAGCTGTTATCGATTTTGATGAAATGGCTGGTGGTCTTAATAAACGGCGTATGATACAGAGTGCCGTTTTTAAGGAACTTGTCAAGGTTGGTATGCAAAGGAGAACGTTTATTTGTGATCACATTTCTGCACATGGTCGTAACTCAGTGCGACGCCTTTGTCTAATAAGCCAGGTATTACTGATTCGTAACTGTCTGCACTATTTGATCACAGTCGCCACTATTTTGCCTCTGTCTTCACTGTCTTAGGAGAGCTAAACAGACACTAAGTCTGAAGCTAAACAATGAGCAGTTGAGGTCTTATTTTCAGTAGGCCTATCCAAAAATCATTTAATGGAGAAATTCAATTCTAGTAGACGAATCCTTTCAGAAAATTTTCTGAAATTTTCTATGCTAACCGTGTGAAAAACTTACAATATTACTATTGCTATCTGATTTTGTAACCTAATTGTCATAGTTCTTAGCCTATAAAAGCAGAAATAAACCGATTTGGTAACAATCCAACTGCTGGATATGATTTCAACCATCTTGATGCAATTGTGATTATTTAAGATAATTAAAGATCTTTGCAAGAGAATTATCCACACCTTTGAATAAGTAGCAGGGTGAATAAAAGACAAACTTTCGTTAAAAGTTCAGACACCGTTTTTATAACCCCCATTAGGCTGCAATTCAATGTCCCCTGTCGATGTTCCAAACTATCATCAAAGGTAAATGTTTGGGACAATAGATGGTATTCGTTTTCAACAATCTTCATAATAACTTAGGGCCCTAAATACAATTTTGCTTGAAAGTTTATTGTTTTTGATAGCCATAAAATTAAGTTTGAAGTTTTTTATAGTAGGTAGTACAATTTATAAATATGCATACCACATAGCAATTCTGTTTTACTCGTTTTTAAGGGATCAATGACATAACTAGGCTAGTAAAACTAAAAATCTTGAATAGAAGGGTAGTTATAACTAATCAATTTTTGTCAGTTGGTTGATCCCGGCGTAAAGGCACATCAGCCAGTCAAAGGTAAGCCGAACATCATCATGTTTGTTGGACTGCAAGGATCAGGAAAGACCACAACGTGTACCAAGTTGGCGTACCACTACCTCAAGAAGAACTGGAAAGCTTGCCTTGTGTGCGCCGATACGTTCCGAGCAGGAGCGTACGACCAGCTTAAACAGAACGCCACCAAAGCGAGAATACCGTTTTATGGAAGGTAATTTACATTTTGAGATTTATTGCGTAACACGCATGTGGTTTTAGTTGAACAAATGTTTTCAACGTTATTGGAAACAAATACAGTAGGCTGCTTTACTCTTTCGGTATGTATAATTGTCATTATCATTACATCGAGACAAAAATACATCACTGTTATTTATTATCTGAACGTGAGCAAGGGATGAGTGCAGAATCGGGTGGGATGTCTTTTTTGTCGAATTTTTTTTACCAAAACTAGCTGCTTCCATAGCCTGGGCCGTTAAGTAAATGATCAAGGATAGTTTGGTCCATTTTCATCATGTGTTTTATTTTTAGACTTTTAGGCCTTAATCGCTATCTGAACATTATTTTATTTTTGGAGATAATTTAACTATCGCTAGTAATATTTTAACAATAGATTTGGTCTGGAGTATTATAATAGTTATCTAAGAAGGTAGAGCAAATTCTACCATTACATGCACACTTTGTTCTTAAAATCCTGTTAAACCACCAAGGTCAAGTCATAAAAGAAAATTCACACTCTGAAAGAAATACCACTTTTTTTTCAGTGCTAATTATGACAAGACTACGCCTCATTTAAGGGTGGGGGTGAGGGCAGAACATTGCACTGTCAGATTTAAATAGCTCCATTAGGAGTGAAATTTGTTTAAGATTTACAGTAAATTGTTGTATGTTTTGTGACGTTTACTGATATGTTTAAAACACTGTCGCAGCTACACGGAGGTGGACCCTGTCGTGATTGCTGCTGACGGAGTAGATATGTTCAAGAAGGAAGGGTTTGAGATCATCATCGTAGACACTAGCGGACGACACAAACAAGAGGAGTCACTGTTTGAGGAGATGTTACAAGTCTCCAATGCCATTGTAAGGAATTTTAATTGAAGAATTTTTATTGCTATTCTTATCAATATTTAAACACTGCTTTTAAACTATTTTTATAACCTTTTTTGTAGCTTAGTGTAACATTATTTGCTAGGAAAAATTAATAAATCCTAAAATTACTAACGATTTTGATTTTATTTTAGAGACCGGACAACATAATTTTCGTGATGGACGCCACAATAGGTCAGGCTTGTGAGGCTCAGGCGAGAGCTTTCAAAGAGAAAGTTGACATCGGAAGTGTTATCATCACAAAACTGGACGGTCACGCCAAGGGTGGTGGAGCCCTCAGTGCGTAAGTAATCTTCTTTCTTCTCAGCGTAGTTTGATTACTTTATTGTACAGATTTTTAATACTAGTAATTTCAAAAGATAGAATACTAAGAAAGATCTAACCAAACACCGTAATAGCTATTGGAGCCGACTATTTCTGTTTATTAGCTCCAAAGGTCGATATATATGAGCCGAATCAAACACACAATTAAGACCATTTGTATGAGTATGGCTCAACAAAAGCTGCTTGCCAAACCTAACATACTGCAACCTGGTAGTCAAGTGTTAAATTACTAACCAAGGGATTGTGGTTTGCCAGTATTGTTAAAACTGTAGGCCTAAACTTTGATCTGATTGTTAGGGTTTAATCTCCTATTGGTCAGGATAATTTGAAACTAGTGAAGAGTTCACCTGAGCTGAGGGTGTCAGAGCTTGTTAGACTAGTCCACTTGACATAAATGGTAGACATCTTGATTAAGTTGACTGGATTGGTACATTATTTGAGATTTACTCAAATCAAGCATTTTTACTACTTTAGCCAATCCTCACAGTGTTTCTGTCCACAGAAAAGAATAATCCATCGAGTCCATTGCCTTCAGTAATCGTTCCTTTATTTTCCAGGGTGGCGGCGACAAACAGTCCCATAATCTTTATAGGTACTGGTGAACACATAGACGACTTGGAACCATTTAAAACCAAGCCTTTCATCAGTAAGCTGCTAGGTATGGGAGATATAGAGGGGCTGATAGATAAGGTCAACGAACTGAAACTGGACGATAACGAGGAACTCATAGAGAAGATCAAACACGGACAGTTCACACTGAGAGATATGTACGAACAGTTTCAAAACATCATGAAAATGGGGCCTTTCTCACAGATTATGGTTTGTACATGTTGTGTTATAGTCATTAAGTTAATGCAAATCGGTTATCCTTTTAGCGAATTTCCCATATAGGGAATAAGCTATTACCGTAGTACTCATGGTAAGACCTGGACGCGGGACCGATTTTTATTTTCGTTTTGAGGTCCCTAGAGGCCAAAAACACCATCCGTTCAAATTCATATATATATATATATATGTGTCCGTCAGCACAATAACTCGAGCAAAAATTATCCGATTTTGATGAAATTTGGTACAAACGTGTAAACGTACATTTATTCGAACGAGTTCGCGATCCAGCATGATCGGACCATGGGAACGGGGGTTTACGGGGGGTTTTATGGGGTAAAAATAGGTTTTTCTCATTTTTGACCCAAAAAACATAAAATTTAGCAATTTCTTTCCAAACCATTTTGTAGAGCTTAAAAAAACAAATAATTTAGTATCTTATATAGGCTTACCTCCGTCAGTAGTCCAAAATTGTGTCTTTTTCAACTAATGTTGTTCAAAGCTTACATGTTTCGTTGCACTGCAACATCGTCAGAGCTTTTTGTCAAAAACATCAAATGATTTATACATAAAACAAAACACGGAACACGAAACATTTAAACACGTAATAACACGATAGCGCTATCGACACGGCACGGCAGCGGTTGTAGGTAGACTGGACACGGGTTAAGTAACTTCGTCCCGTCCTTCTCTGTTATCAGCTCGGTGGTCAGCTGTTCTAGATGAGATAACGGTGTTGAAGAGGGAGTGGGACTTGAATTGTAGTTTATCATTGAGGATGTTTTCCTTGTGTTCTTCGTTTACGTTCATTTTATATTTCTCATACTCCTCAAGTGTGTCCAACTTATTACCTTTCCCGCAAAAATGTAGAACTTCCAAGCCGTTCTTAATATCACTCATTGAGTGATTACAATCTACAAGATGTTGAGCAAACGCGGATTTTTGTTTATGGTGTTTAGGATCTGGTCGGTGTTCTTTATATCGTGTTTGAAAGGCACGACCTGTTTGCCCTATGTATTTGTTATTACATGTATCGTGTTATTACGTGTTTAAATGTTTCGTGTTCCGTGTTTTGTTTTATGTATAAATCATTTGATGTTTTTGACAAAAAGCTCTGACGATGTTGCAGTGCAACGAAACATGTAAGCTTTGAACAACATTAGTTGAAAAAGACACAATTTTGGACTACTGACGGAGGTAAGCCTATATAAGTCATTATTCGTAGTCCAGGGGCTATCAGAATGAATAATATAATTTAGTATATTGAAGCGTTATTTTGCACCTAATGGTTACAGAGAAAATTCCAAAAAATTGTAAATTTAAAATTCCCATGTTATTCTTATGGAGAATAAGTAAACTGTTGTAGTTTGCTTGTTTGTGAACATATCTTGATCAAATTTGGAAAATGTTTTTATTTCTTACTAACTATTCACATTTTACAAAAAAAAGCAGTTTTACCCTCCCTGATGCAGCAAACCTAAGTACTTGTTAAACTAATTCTATTTAAATCAAGAATAAATGTTATATTTTATAAGTAGACATTTCAGTGTAAATCCAATCAGTCAAATGGAAATTCGCTTAGTCTGCAGGTTTGCTGCGGCGGGGGTATTTTATCATGAGGTTGAATATTTTTTGAGGTTTTGTAGCATGCATCTTTTATGATTTGCATACAGTCAATTATAGGAAGTTTACTTCTATACTTGTTTGACATTCACTGTACTTTACATGTGTCATAAGAGACGGACATGCTATTAACAATTTATTTACTTACTTACTGCCATGGCCAAAAATCTTCTGGCCTTGATCTCAATTTTCACAAATCTTTCTCCGCCTGGTCCTTCCAGCGGTTCTTGAGCCTCGTGGTCTTCTTCCCGCTGGGTTTTGCCTCCAAACTCCTTTAATTGGTTTTCCTTCCCCATATTCCTACCTAAATACATGTTAACTTACACTTGATTACTAGATAATAGTTTTACATAATTTTTATAATAGATTTAAACTATTCATATATACAGGGTGGCAATTAAGTCTTAGGAAGATTTTATAACTTTAAAAGAAAAAGAGATGTTATAACCAAATTTGGTAATTATTACTGGTAATAATTTGCTTCTTTTTTGTGTACATGGTGATCGGATGCCAGGGAGGATGGTCACCAATAGGGAGTAAGTTGAAAGTCTTGAAGATAAGTTGATAGGTAAATTAAAATAATGGTCTTGTTAAACTAAAAATAATGCTCCAAACCGTACCACAAAGGCCAAATGGAAAACCAAGTCAAAAATGGCAGCCATTCAAAGACATGTTGAATCTGCCATGTTGAATGTTTAAACTAAAACTGCTGCCATTTTTTACTCAGTTATTATTTCGAGTTCAAATTTAAGGCATTGTATTCTCCGAATAAAGACCTTTAATTTGACGTGCAGATTGACCTATTTTTAAGTTTTTTTATTTTTTTAGGAATTCTAGCGTCTGTCCCCTGAGGAGGTAGGTCTACTGTATAATAGCATTGCAAATTCAATGAATCTTTGAACAGCTGTAATTTTTGACTCAATTGTCCATCTAAGGTCTGGTTTGCGGCATGATTTCAAGTCCAACAAGACCTTTAATTTGATGTACATATCTACCTATGCTTTTCATTAAGATTTTCAATTTACTCCATATCGGCTGTCCCCCATTGGTGACATTTGATCACCATGTACACATTAAAGTAGCTAACTACTCGCAGTAATGATATGCCAATCTTGGTTGTTGTATTCCTTTTAATTTTGAGGTTATTAAGTCGTCCTAAGACTTAATTGTAACCCTTTGAATAAAGACTATTTTTTATGTTACTTGAACTTGTGCGTTTTTCACCATGGTAGGTCTACTAACATTTTGACTTAGAAGTTGTTCATCCATTTTATGCAGCAAATAATTAAAACTATTGTTGGTTCAAGGTTTGTAGCATTCCTATTTGAGTACAAACACAAAATGTCTTGAATGAAAAGTTAGGGAGTCCAACTATCATAAGAAATAAAGCTTGCATGGTCACTGACACAAACACTTCAATCTAGATCTTCTGGGATGTCTGGGTCATAAGTAAAATTTTAGACCGTTCTCTTCAGGCAGATGATCGGAATATGTGTCAGGTGTCAGGCGTTACTAATCAAGTAATACTACTCAGTAGAAGCGCCTGCCACCTGTTTCTGTAAACTGATCTGAAGAAGGCTGTCTGTAACAAAGCCGTACTCACAAAACTTTTTTCCTAGTGTGACTTATCCCGAACCTTGTCAAATTGACCTTAAAAGTTGTCAATTTTTTTTTATTTGTGTTTGCCTTACAATCTAAAGAATTTTCAACAGAATAAGGGAATAAGATAAGACTTAAGCTATATTGTACATACCTATGTCTTTTCAGGGCATGATACCAGGATTTAGCCAAGACTTTATGTCAAAAGGAAGTGAACAGGAGTCAATGGCAAGACTGAAAAAGCTTATGACAATAATGGATAGTATGAACGATTCCGGTGAGTTTTATCATTTACTTAGACACTAGTACAGTCATCCGATCTATATGAAACAGCTGTAGCAAATTTTTATATCCAAATAAAACATTGTTGAACAATTCACAGAGTTACCTTCTGTCGAGATACTATTTTCCCTCGTTGTTATTGATATTATGATTATTCGTGTTACAGAAGGTGCTATTATTTACAGCAAGTTGTCCTTTCTGGTTGGTTTGGTTAGTGATTTGGTGTATAGTATTCATAACTTGGACGCAAATCACTTTATATTAGGCTCAATTCAGTTACGGTCATTTTTATTTTGAAACTGCATAAACGTTTAACCCTTTTAGTGCCGCAGCATCGCTCATAGCGACCCGATGTGTTTACGCATAAATTTTGGAGAGTCGCTGACAGCGGATTTCAGTATTTTATATTACTCAAACAACATACTGGCCTTTAAACACAATCAATTTGATTTGTTTATTAAGGGAATAAACCTGTTTACAATATTAAGACTTAAATCAGTACAAGCATTTAACAATAATTGACAAGATAATAGGAACACATTTAGCAGCAAACAGGTACATTATAAACAAGCAACTTTGACAATTGTAGTATTTACAATCTAGAAATTGATATCTGAGCATATGGGATGGGTCAGTTTACTAGGCTATTTTTTCTATTGTGAAGAGTGATATAAAAGGTGACAAAAAAAAAAAGAAGAACAAAACTTCCTAAAAGTAATGAGCCAATCTATTACCTGACTTAACAATGAAACAAAACAAAATAAAATCAGTTGGCATTATTGTTTGACCCAAAAGCTTCTGGCTGTCAGTTTTGGAGCAATTTTATTACCTTTGGTCTGATAGCAGACACTATTTTAGCTGTTTGACGTAGATGACATCTGATTTAATCTGAAGTTTGTTTGTTGTTGGCAGGCTATACTTATTTTCTAATTATATTGTGTATTTCATTTTTTGTTTTGTTTTTATACATTGACAAGTTTTAATGGGAATTGCACTCATCTTCATTCATACTTAGCTTAAAATACCTACTTTGTATGGTCGCCATTTGATTGAAATATATTAAAGTAAAGTAAGTATTAAAGAAATCTATACTCTTCACTCAATCCTACCTTCAAAACAATAGCTCAACATCTGATGTTTGCCAAAACACCAATCAGCTGCAGCTGCAACATACAGTATTCATTATGAAAAAAAGTAGTGGGGGAACTTCCTATCTAACCACCTAAATTTTATGAACAGACTTTAAAATAATCTGTGGTACGATTAGTTTGTTATAATAGCTTAACTAAAGTACTTCAGTTCAAACTCTTTAATAAACTGATAATTTCATAATTTAAATCTAAACAAATGTAACGTTACAGAGCTGGACAATCGAGACGGAGCGAAGCTGTTCACGAAGCAGGGCGGCCGCATCACGCGGGTGGCGCAAGGCTCGGGCGTGACTGAGAAGGAAGTGAAGGATCTCATCTCGCAGTACACCAAGTTCGCCGGAGTCGTCAAGAAGATGGGCGGCATCAAGGGGCTGTTCAAGGGCGGAGACATGGCTAAGAACGTGAACCAAGCTCAGATGGCGAAGCTGAACCAACAGATGGCCAAGATGATGGACCCCAGAGTACTGCACCAGATGGGTTAGTGTTGCCTTATTGATGAGTAATGTGAAATTGGTGGATTATATATATACCAGGACACACCAGAGTTTATTTTAAGATGAAAGTTTTAAAGTAAAGACGATGGAAGGAATGTTGAATGAGTAATTCTTTGTTACCGACAAAGATCAGTTGGTTCTACATTCGGGAACATTTATAAATAGCCAAGGACAGTTTAAAACCCTCAATAAAAGTCCTGACTTCTCTGGATCGAACTGGCAATGTTTTAACTACCAAGCCAGCACTATACACACTCAGCTTTCTAGCTATGTGAGCTATTAGTAGGGTTTAACCCAAGTGTATTAGGATTTTTAAGCTCTGGTCTTTTTTTGCTCATGTCTACGCCGGTTACATTTTATTAGTTTGATTTGATCTCATACTTAACAAAAGTTCTTAAACCACCTTAAATATTGGATGGTTCAAGGCTATTTTATTTATCCGTCCAGTCACCCCAGCTAATAAGTTGTCCCACAAGTGTAGGTTTTAGGGTTGGTTGTATTGATTCTGATCACTATTAGGGTAAAATTGGTGTTGCCAGATACTAAATGAGAACACCTTCTTTTAAGCTGTTAAACATTTTGGGTTAAAGAAATTATTTGGGGAAAAATAAGGTATTGCATACTGGTACCTCTCTTAAACGTATCAATTTTTAATTGATTAATTTGCAAGTGCTTACAAAATTCCAATTCCGAAGCTATTTCAAATCTTTTTTAAACCATGTAAGGTATAAGGGGTCAAATCTCTCCCACCAGTTAATATGCTACAGTATGGTCCATGAGAGGCTGCAGTTGAGGGAGGAGCCTATTTAGCACGTGACTTCGGAGTCAATGAGGACCGTGTGGTGTTGCCAAATCTAATAATACCAGCTAAATTGAAAATATTGTTTAGTATATTTTAATTAGTGTAAAAATTTAGTGAACGTGCTAGTCCAGTCTTGCTATTATTGGCTGCCTCCAATTGCAGACTCGTGGCCCTAGTGTAGTTCAATTATTTTACACATAATATGAGTTAAATTTTTGTGAGACAAATAAAACATTACACTTAGTATTTTGCATAACTAAATTCATCCTCTAAATATTTCCAACACATAATGTGAAATCATTGTAATAACCAGTAAGCAAAGGTGTACCTCTAGGGTAGGTACTAGGACCAGTTTTATTTATACTGAAAATAGCACATTTTTTGCAGGTGGCATGTCGGGACTGCAAAACATGATGAGGCAGTTGCAACAAGGAGCGGCTGGTGCTGCGGGGGGCCTGAGTAACCTGATGGGGGGCTTCGGGGGCAAATCGTGAGAGGGCCCCGCTCTAGAACTTTCATTCTCTCATGACACCTCGCAGCGAGACTACCCAGGCTCATACCGAGGCTACAATATCAAACATTGCAGACTCGTGTTCTAAAATTCAAACATTAAAATATTTTCAAAAAATTATCTTTTGTCAATGTCACAGTTTTTTGTAAATTTTTGTACTATGGTGCTTGGAAGATTCTGGGATGATTTACAAAGTTTTTTGTTTTTGGTCAATTTTGGTCTGCTTTGGTAACTTTGGACTGATACTGAAATTTCTGTTATGTTTAGAAGACTAACAGAATAGAAACGGGTGTTTGTTTTCCAATGACAGTATTTCCTATGATTGATTCCATTTTTTCCTCTTTTTATGATCTTTTTAATTTTTGTTTTTGTAAATGAGCTTTTTTGGTGGTTAACAAATAAAAAATTATTATCTAAAGTAGAGGAACAAATTGTGTCAAAGCATGTTTAGCTAGTTGAAAAACTATTTTTCTTATTTCAAAAACAAGTAATGAATTGGTACAGTAAATAATCACAATATTTTTATAAGTTTTTATGTGCTGTCTTCGTTGAATTGTGTTTTAGAAGAGATTGTCTAAACAGCAACTAAAGTAAGGAACAGTTTGTGTTACTATAAACATTTTGTAAATATGTTGAATAAAATGTGATGTTTTTACAGAAAAGTAGTTAAATCCTGTTTTGTTCCATATTCCAATCATGTAGTTTGATGTAAAACTTTGTGAATCTACTGTAGATACGGAAGTAAAAGACTATAATTGCTTCTTGAATAAAAAAAAGTAATAGTAAACACAATAGCATTGAAAGGGCAACACACTACACTGTTTTAACGAACTTCCCACTCAAGTATTTAGTCCAGAAAACAGCTAAAAGATATTTTCCTGTAGATGTGCAGATAAGCTCAAAAATAATTTTTTTTTTTAAATTAACATGAGCTTTATGGGTTGCCATACCGGTGACAAAAAATAGAAAAGGATACGGTAAGAATAAGCGATTAATTTTTCTGAATCAGTTAGTTGTATGTGAAACAAATTATATAAGTTCATGAATCAATTTTAAAAACAATCTAAGTTTTCTTTATTAAAAATACGTTCACAAAATTTAGACGGATTTAGAAGAAATCTATCCCCTCCTCTTGATCCTACTTTTAAAACAATACCTCAACAGCTGAGGTTTGCCAAAACATCAGCTGCAACATACATTAAGCAACAAAAGTTGGGGGGGACTGGACTATAGTAACAATTTAAGTAGTAGAAAAATTGTACTTCGACAAAACCAAAACACCAATTATACAGCTCATTACACATAAGCCATTAGTAGGGGTGGTTAGTGGGTGGCGGGGGGATGTGTTGTTTACACATAGTGGCCCCGCCCCCCGCCGTGATACAGCACATTGCTATCAATGATAATGGCTCCCCCATTGTGTCAGGTCCAGCCAACACCAATGATTTTAGAAGATACCCTACAATTTGAGGGATGGTAGTTGAATTACACGCTAGATAGTCCTTTGACCTCTTTGAATATTTTTATTTTATAATTTTTTTAAGGGTTCAAATCCTGGTCTTGTTACTATCTAGTATCTAACTTCAGCCTTTTGTTTGGTAGCATGATTGATGGCCATATGACAATGATATCTGGGTTGAGAATTGTCTTCACCTGGGATCGAACCTGCCTTTGGATTTGAAGGTGACCATAACCACTCAACTATTCAGACAATCACAAGCAAAGCCAAAATAGTTGTATGGTCATTATGTTTAGAAGTTGTAATTACCACGACCACGTTGCATATGATGTGAACAATTAGGGTTGAACAAACACATTGTTAAGATCAGCTGGTAAACTAGAATAATTTGTCCTGTCCAATGGTTTTGATTGTTAAAAAGTAACCTGATTGTTTCACCCATACGATTTGTTACTAGGCCGTTTATTTAAAACCGGTAAAAACAATCTGACACATACTTTCTCCCATTACCTTGTCAACAGCCCCTACAATGGGTAAGCGGTGGGAGTAACTATGATATTCATGAGGAAAATCACAAAAGTTGCAATAACTTTTTAACTGTAATTTTTACAGCATTGGTTTTTATTCCATTTTCTTTAGATTTAAAAGGTGTTAATATACTAAATTTTAATTCTAATAGTTTGAGCCGTTTTTGTAAAAATATGATTTTTCTGTTATTCTATAGAGAAGTAAATTCAAAAAAATGATAACAAAATCAAGGGTGGACCACACGCATACCGTACATGTACAAACCGACATCACTTGCAAGACTTATTTGGGTTCAGAGAGAAGCAAAACACAAACCTTTTGACAGATAAACAATACTTTCTTTATATACAATGGTAGGGAGGGAAAGTAAAAATAGCTTGATCCAATCAGAAAACAGGGCAACATAAAAACTTGGAGGCAATAATCCATGATTTATTCATTTAAATATGCTTGTTATGTAACACATCCTTCTTTTCCCCCTCCTCTTTGTTTGCTCTCATTACACGAACAAAAGAATTTTAGTTTTTTTATGCTAACCAAACAATTTGTTAGTGGTCACACATACAGTAAAGATAATATAAAAATATATATATAATTTTTACGGTACCGTCTTCACAATCAGAGGTGATACTGCACTACTTCCATTTCGGAGATAACTCCATTTTCAGTTTTCTACTAATCAAGAGCACAGTTTTCTACAGTACAGTTTTCTAGTAATTTCTTAAAAACTGTAAGTTTGCTGCAAACTTGTAGTTGGCGCATGCTGAACTTGCAGCAAGTTAACTGCAAACCTTTTTCGCTATCTGGGTAAAGTCTTGTTTTTACACTCAACACAAAATGTCTTGATTTGCATTGCGTCGAAAAATTAGACCCAATGACAACCACTTCAAGAAAATGTTGGCTTTTTTGTATGTGCACAGTTTAAAAACGGCTTATTGGGCTTGTTTATGTTTTGACAATGTATAGTGTATACACATGCATCTTGCCATATGTTCAGAAAATATGTATGTGGAAGAAACTTAGATACCTACTGTGTAAAGTTTTTGACTGGACAGTAAAAACCGTATAGTATCAAATGAGCATTGTAGACTTTTCACAACATTTAAAAATGCCTTCTTAGTTTATAACCGTCCATCTTCATGTCTTATACGTCTTACACTTCGAAGCTGGAGGGTTAAACCAAAAATACACAAAAAGTGTTATGGAGGGCCATATACAAAAATGTGAAGGGTTTTGTCCACTTTCCATAAAAAGCGTCTGATTTAATTTCATACAAAATACCACAGGTGTAGTACACTAAAAAGCAAATTTTTATGCTAATAAATTTACTAAATTTTATGTTTATCCTATGCAATACCTCCCCATAATAGTGTGTTTGTGTGTGGGGGGGGAGGGAGACAGATATAGAGGGAGGTGGGAGGCTATAAGAGAGTGGATGTTCTGCTCAGCTGAGCCTTTTTCATCTCCTCCTTCAACAAGGTAACATATTTATTTTGATATTATCATAGTAAAAAGTGTATTTAATTTATTTAAAATATATTTTGTTTCATAATTGAAGCTTACAATAATTGTGATTCTCAGTCGACAAGTACCGGTAGTTATAAGCATAATTTATTGCATTTTAGCGAATTTCCCATATAGGGGCTAACCCCAATAAGCTATTACCGTAGTACTCACGGTAAGACCTGGACCCGGGACCGATTTGATTATTCATTTTGAGGTCCCTAGAGGCCAAAAACACCATTCGTTCAAATTCATATATATATATATATGTCTGTTAGCGCAATAACATAATTATGTCTCGAGCAAAAATGATCCAATTTTGATAAAATTTGGTACAAACCTGTAAACCTACGTTTATTCGAACGAGTTCGCGATCCAGCATAATCGGACCATGGGAACGGGGGCTTATGGGGGGTTTTATGTGGTAAAAATGGGTTTTCCCATTTTTAACCCTAAAAACAAAAAAATTTCAATTTCTTTCCAAACCGTTTTGTGGAGCTTAATAAAGAATTAATTTAGTATATTGAAGCGCTGTTGTATGTCTAACGGTTACGGAGAAAATCCAAAAATAGTGTAATTTTAAATTCCCATGTTATTCTTATGGAGAAAATTAAAATTGTTGTAGTTAACTTGTTTATGGATATATATATTGATAACATTTGGCAAATTTATTTATTTCATCCTATACTATTGACGTATGGTCAAAAAACACTTTTTACTTTCCCCTTAGCAGCAAACCTAAGCACTTGTTAAATCTAATGTTATTTAAATAGGGAATAAATATGTCTTATTTATGGAAATATTTGAGTAAAAATGTAATCAGACAAGTTGAAATTCGCTTAGTCTGCAGGTTTGCTGCGGCGGGGGTATTTACAAATGTAGGAGTTTAAGAAGTAATTAATTCTCTTGGTTAATTTTTCTGCTCAATATGGTGTTCATATTTTGGTACTAGACTTGGTGTTAAGTTTCAAGTAACTTAATCATTAGTACCAACGGATAGTATTAAACTCTGTCTTCATTTGCCCTGCATTGACCTTCATACTATAATATGCATCCAAATCCTAATAGATATTTCTGTCTTATTTATGTGTTGTTTCCTGTTATAATAACTTTATTTGATAATATAATTTCACAAACCTTAAAACTAGGTATTTTTAATTGAATGACATTTGCTTGTTTTCTGGAATTATAATCACAACGTGAAGCACTGGGGAGTGAGGAGATAATACATTTAATACAGTTAATACATTGACTGCTGGATTTACCACAGGCCCCTAGGACTGTGAGCAAAAGAATGACCGCAACATTTTGCACAAAAACAATTTTTTTGGAGCAATAGTTAAATTTTAATTTTTTTAAATTTAATAATTTACCACATTATTGTGTGACGATGATGGTGTTCCTGTAAACGCATGTTTACGATCCTGCAAGGATCGGAGGCTTAGGTCCTTGGGTTGCAAGTGCCTTAAATCTGTCACCAAAAATGTCTTATAAATAGTTACTTTGCACATAAAAACAAGCTAAGGTTTTATAATAGGTTGAAAAACCTGCACTTGCAGTTAGCCAAGTCAATACCTACCCCTAATCATGATGAGGGTTTACTTGAGTCTAAATTTGTTTCTGATTTTCTTTCTATGCCATACCAGACACAGATGAAGGCCGCGTCTGTTCTGCTGCTAGGTGCAATGCTGAGTCTGACAAGAGGGGAAGGGGAAGAGGCCTGCGAGACGATACCCTCCGAGATACACCTCATAAAGGGTAGGTTATCAACAAACAGCTGATTGATGGAATTTTACGCAATACAGTAGACTCTCGCTCATCCGGACTAATGTGGCGGACGTCCGGTCTCGATTACGAAAAATCCGGACTATCGAGTTTCGAGCAAATATCAAATAATCAAAATTGATTTGATTTGATTTGAACTTTTTGGTGATTTGGTGCTATCTTTGACTATTGTAGATTCTTTAGATACCTAGTTTACATGGTGGAAGGATAAAACATAGGTGTGATATTCCCGTCATGTGCTGACGTAACTCAGATTGCAAACGCCATTTCACTATTTAGACCAAATTATAAAAACTATAAAATATCAAAACAAATACTTATATGACAGTTACAAGCTGATTTCTGTTTGCAATCTGGGTGACAACGGGACACCTATGTTTTATCCTTCCAACATGGATGGTTTGGGTACTTCAGAGTCCAAAAGTCAACGGACTAACTGGCCGATTCGGCTCAGAGGGTTGAGCGTGATCAATAATTATTAGTCTTTCGCATTTAAAATACACATAATAATTGGACCAGCTGTAATTTTTTTTTAGTCAAACATTTTGAATAAGTCTCTCATCAAATTTGCTAAAATGTCAATACTGTATTTTCTCCTTAGTTTTTGATATCAAAATGATGTGCTGTAAAAGATTCGATAGTTTAAAACAAGTTGTTGTAAGGGTTTTACTTGGATAATTGATATAATAAATTACCTATCCGACATTATTCAGTAATTGACATTGTACATTCTGTTGATGACCCAATACGTAAATTTACATTATGAAACCATCCACATATAAACAATCATTTAAATGGGTTTTTTTATACTTAAACGTTTAGTAAATCTAATTAAGTTTAATAAATTTATTTTCGCTAATTTGTGTTTAATTATTTGAATGTTGACAGAGGAGTTTGATGAGTTGGGTCGTCTGCAGAGGACGTGTAACGGAGACGTCGCAGTCAACAAATGTGAAGGAGCTTGCAACTCGCAGGTCCAGCCCAGCGTCATCACACCTACAGGGTTCCTCAAGGTAACACCATACTTTGCTACTGTAGCTTTGAAAATATATCAAGTAACAAAAAATTTCTCAAAATTGGTTCTAATATAAGTGAATGAACCAATCAGTATTCTTAGCATCATTAACTTTTTTCCATGATCTTGAAATAGCTGTTTAATTTGATTATTTTGATAATATTTCAAATAATTACCAATACCTTTGCTCTGTCCGTACTGAACTCTTCAAATGCAGAAAATGGCTGTCTTTGCCATGTTTATTTTATTTTAATACTTTAAACCTCTTGAGCTTTCAGGAAAACTTCATCTTGAGCCTAATGTGCCTAATGTTCATCTTGATCACAAAACATTTCTAAGTTGGTTAAATCTGTGGCAGGTGTTTTTTTCATCATAGCTCATATACTATTGGGTGTGTACCCAAAGGACTTTAAGCTGTGTTTACACGAAGTAAGCTGGTGTTACCTGCCTCAAGTAAGTTGAAGAACAGAGGCAGGTAACCTGCTACGTAACCTGCCTGCCTCTTGCCTCATGTAAATGCTGCTTTGGTGTGATAGGGACAGTCTTGAAGCATATTCACATCTGGACCACTTTCCTTCAATAGAGTTTGGTGTTCTAAAAAAAAATTGCCAGTGTTATTGAAACTAAGAATCCAATATCTGTTAATAATTAGTATTGACAAAGCTAAAAACTATCTGAATATTTCTTGCAGGAGTGCTACTGTTGTCGGGAGAGTTTCCTGCGAGAGCGTGTGATAACGCTGACCCATTGCTATGACCCGGACGGGATGAGGCTAACCTCCCAGGCACAAGCCTCCATGGAGATAAAGCTGCGAGAACCAGCTGACTGCAAGTGTTACAAGTGTGGGGACTACTCTCGCTGAACAGCTGATTACATTAAGCTTTGCCAACCGCTGTTAAACAAATGTTTACTGTGTTAAAAAATATGTAGCAAAAAGATTCTATATTTTAAATACTTGAACTGTAACAAAATGCTAAAGAAGAGGCTTATTGAGTTTAACGAACAATGTAGAATAAAGATATAAAAAAAGACATGTATACAAACAATATTCTAAATGAATTGTGTCCAAGAATAAAACTGAAAAGAAAGCAAAAAGAACATGTATACAATATTCTAAATTAATTGTGTCTAAGGCTGCGGCCACACGGGCCTTTTTTCAAGCACAAACGTAGCTTGACAACACGCGAAAAATATGAGCAGCATTAAATGTAATGGGGAATGCCTTACACAGTGTGTTTTCCTGCAGTAGCGGGCGCCTATTTGTTTCAATGCTACTCTGATTTTCGTGTGTTTTCACGCTGCGTTTGTGCGTGAAAAAAAAAACGCCCGTGTGGCCGCAGCCTAAGAAAAACTAAACATTTATATACATCAAATAGGTGAATAATATACTCTCATAATTAAAAGATTGTAAAATAAAAATCCATAAGAATTTTAGTATCCTCTGTTTAAAGTTTACAAGTACGTCTACTTTCATTTTTCCTACCCGCCGTTAAGATTTTACCGATTTTAGTTTTAGTAAACTATATTATAGATAAAGGAGGGTTATGTGCATTGTATGTGTAAGCTATATATGCTTATATAGACATGTTTTGGTTGTTGGTTTCAATTTACTTAGCAGCTAGTTTTACTTGTATTTAAAATGTTCCTATTATCATAATTTTACTAAACCGAGTTATGTGTTTTTATTTTTGAGTAAAAAAACTGAGAAATCTACTATTTTACTTGGAAAACCAAACTATTTTCTTTTCATTTTACCTTAAAAATTCCAAAACACTTATTGAATCCACTTTTTATAGATTTACGAATCTTATGATTCAGTTAAATATTCAACTAATCTAGCCGATATGAAGATGCAAATGTTTTGAAAATTATCTATACCTACTTTATTGTTTTTTGACAAACTTTAAAATGTTTTACAACCAAATAGAAAGATTTAGTTGCAAACTTCATTTGGACATCTGGTTTTGTTACCAGACATTCTCCTTTTTCCTATTATCCACCACATAAAAATAAAATGTCATAGTTATTAAAACCGTGTCTGCAGATAAGGAAGTAAGGAGAACATACACAGTAATAAGTGAAAGATAAGGCAAGGACATAGAGTTACTGTTGCTAGCTTTGCTAACTCTGAAGGTAACTAGGCACGTGCATAGAAAACTACAATGATTGTTTGTGAGTATTCATTATTTAAAAGTATTAATTTTTCACTGATGGGATTCTTAGATAAAGTTATAGCAGTGAAACTTAATTTCATGCTTTGGAAATAGTAATTTTAAATGACACAATGTACAAGAAAATATTGTTTTCCTACAGTTACCTAACAATGTACATGTTCTCTCACTGATTTGAGAAAGCAAAGTGGCCAATTCGCTCATCAGTGAGACAATGTTAACATTGTCTCACTCTAATTACTTTGTCTCACTCCAGATTTGCAACTTGAAGGCACGAAATAGTGAGCACGTAACATGCAGGCAACGTCTATGCGCGCGAAATACGTTGGCAGCACTGGCTGTAAATCAGCTGGTCAGCTGTTGTACTGTTGTATTTGTCACTTCACATTAAATGTTATATTAAAAGTTCACTTCTGTGCAAAAATAGGTTATGTTTCTTCATAAATTATGGTAACAAATTATGGTTTTATGGTAACTGTAGGAAAAGTATAATGTGCAACTCGAGTTCAAAGTACAATTCCTCACTCGAGAAACCATTCTTCACTCGCCTACGGCTCGTGAGTAAGGATTTCTCTCGAGTGAGTCAATTGCTCACTTTTCTCACTAGTTGCACAAATAACTATTTCCAACTCTATTTATTAAGAATGAGGTATAAATCAGCTGATTTCCTCTTGTGTACAATGTGTTTTTGCGATTTGAATCAACTGTTTTAGGATTTTTATTAAAGTATTTTACTGTGTTAGTTGTATGTTTATTTTTCCATCGTGTTGAGGAGTATTGTTTAAGACCAGTACGAAGTATGGCTTTCCTGGCACTTGCTCTAATTACCCAGAAGATTTCTTGCACTTTCAGCTGATTGCAAATTCAGCTGATTGTTTTCCCTTGTTCTAAATTAAAGCTTGGGAACTGATTAGTTTATTGACATAAATTGCCTTTAAAACAGAACTACTGTTACCTAAAATTGCCTCGGCAGAGTACCGTAGCTTAAATTAGAGTGATTTTAAATTAGCTTAAATTTTGTAAGAAGTACATGTCCTAAAACAGAATGGTTTATAATGTCGTGGAAATACATACATAGCAAGTTTCATAACGATTTGTTTGAAAAATCGTATAATAAAAAGTGTAAACACAAATTTTCTCTTTATTTTGACCCATATAGGGCCATATTTCTTGAAGTTTTGCTGTTTGCTTACGTACGGGCCACCCTGTATATTACATAGCCAAACTAGTATAGTGTCTGTAGTACCATACACAAAAAAAGAATTAAATATAGACCGTCAGCTGTGCTGCGGTTACCATAGGTTCCGGCTCACACCGCTGTAGTTTACGTAGCGCGTACGCCGTAACTACATGGCGCTCCCAGCGGTGTGCGCCAGAACCTATGGTAACCGTAGCACAGCTGACAGTCTATATTTAATTCTTTTAATCTATGGTAGTACTAAGATAGTATAGCCTTTTAGGTCATAAGGGTGAGGGTCATAAACCAGTGATGTCTGGATAACCAGCCCAAGATGACATCAATGAGTTAAGACTGGTCAAAACATGATTATTCTTGTATAGTAAGCTATAGACCGTGTTATGGTGTCAAAATAACACCATATTATGCAGGTCGTGCAAAATATGCATACAGGTCCAGTGAATGGCTGGCTTATCCATTAAAGTAATGTAAAGTAGTAAAGTAAGTAAAGTAGGCTTAACCTATCTTTAAGACACGATAGTGAAAATTTCTGGTTTACCTTCGGTACTCTGGTTTGGAGTTATTTTTTTAAACCTTATGAACATAAAAGGAAAAACATTTCTACGCTACTTTTAGAGAAGGAAACCAATAGAAATAGTAGGGCAAAATAAGAAGATTGTTTGAGGGTCATACGTAGTGAGTTGCTAACTTAACACTAGCATCCATGATGTCATGATGTGAGAGTAAAGTTATCAAATATCCCCCAATCCACAAAAATGTCAGAGGTTTGGACTATTTTCTCTTTTTTATGTTTTTCATATAAATTAGCAACGACGTTGACATAAAAGAAACCCTTTAGCCTTAAACAATCACCCCTATCCTGTTAGCTACCTTAAATCTCTATTGCGATATTTATGAAAGTTACAGTTGCACCTTACCAATAAATACTGAATAACTTCATAGTCTATAGAAAATTCAAATATATTCAACTTTTCAAGCTTATGGTACTATATCCCAAACAAAGTTGGTATCTCTTAGATCAAGGTACAAAATATTTACATGGATGGTTTATTTAAAATACAAACGGTACTCTGGAGATTAACAATCATGTTATTTTGGTCTAGCATTGAAAAAATACCTGCAAAGAATATCTGCTTCTTTCAGACGTTTGCAAGCATCGTTATGTTAAAAAAGAAAATTGTCTGATCTTATCACAATCTTTATAAAAGCCAACAAAATCCAAGTCAGACTAACATTTTCCGATATCAGCTGATTTTCTTCTTTACACATTGATGACTTCCCTTAAGAGTCTTCCGTGGTGGAAGCCATGTTGGATTTCTTCCCCATAAGAACAATGTTAACTTTGGGTCCAAATATCTCATCAGCAAATTGTCATATAATTATGGATAAGGAGTTAAATTTAAGGAATTGTGGTCCTCTAGAGATTGACGTTTTTTATTTCACAATTTTTAATTTTTATAATGAATAATTAATTATTAATTAGCTTAAAATTAAGCTAATTATTGAAAGGAAAAGAAAATGGATTTTCAAAATTCAAAAACCTCAGTCACGAGTCCATTATGTTAAAAATACAAATTATAAATTTCAAAGCTATATCTTAACAAATAACGCCGTTACGAGTCCACAAATGATGTAATGTTTAACATTGTTCTTATGGGGAAGAAATCCAACATGGCTTCCACTACGGAAGACTCTTAAGTTTTCATATCCACTTCACCTCTTTAAAACTGTTTAAAAAATCTAAAACCCTTTATTTCTATTTTGTTCAAGGGGTTATCCTGTTGATGAACTTCATCGCCACTGTAAGACCTCAATTTATCACTCTAAAACCCGAATTTATAAATTGCCCAAGAGAAAAAGGAGTCTATTTCGCAACAAGTCCAGATTGTCTATTTTATTATCGCTGCGACAACAGGTTTTTAAGACTTCAAGCATGTTACCCTTGGCAGAAATTTGATATTCACACATTGAAATGTAGCAGACGATGGGAGGTGGATTGTAACCCAATGTATGCCGGGATTTGGCGGCCAATGTTTGGAAATAATCCTTCAGAAGTTGATGAATCTGGAAGTGGTACTGGAGCTGCAGACAATTCACTAGAAGAGGTCATTGGAGAAAATCCTTTTAGTACAAATTTGGAAAATATAGAAAACATTGGTCAAGAAATACCTGAAGAAACAGAGGCTGAGGGGCAAGAAGAGTTGGGGACGGGAGAAAGTCCGTTGATAAATGAGGGTTCTGAAAAGTCTGAAGAAATTAGTGGTGTTGACCAAGAACAGCCAGATGATAATAAATCCATATCACAGTTTGCTGATGGGAGCAAAGAAAAACCACTAATAATGGGGACTAATAAAGAAGCAGGCAATACTGGATCATCCAATAAGGAAATATTCAAAGAAAACAGACTAGATCAGAATCCTGGTGCTGTAAAAGAAAAGTCGTCGTTGGTTAAAAATTCAGCTGAAAAAATTGATAGATTTGGTCAAGAGAAACCAGAAGAAACAGAAGAAAAACCAGTTGAACCTACAACGATTGAAAATCCATCATTCATGGGAAAGACAGAAAGTACAGATATACCAACAAATAAACAAATTACCGTGCAGGAAAATGGGATGGGAGTAGAAAATCCGATCACAGCAGAAAGAGCAATAAGTGAAAAGCCTGAAGAATCTGAAGATAACAAAGAAAATTCACTTACGGAAGAGAATACAGGACAAGAGAAAAATGAAAATTCTGAAGACAATCAAAACCTAAAAGGAATTAAAAATCCAACCACGAATGAGGAAAACATGGAAAACACAGCTCCGGCTAAGATGAATAGCATTCAATCAGCGTTTGGAAACCAAGAATTAATTGAAAATTTGAATTCTAAAAGTGTTGAAAATCCTGAAGACAGTACAACTGAAGCACCCTTAACTAAATCTGAAGAAACATCAGATTCAGAAGTTCCAGCAACAATAACAGAAGTCAAAAGTCCACCTGATAATATTTCGTTTGAAACTGAAAACCCTGTTGTTAAACAAGATTTGGAACCAGAAGGATTCAATCTAGAAAATTCTCCACCATTGGAAGAAGTAGTTTCAACTGGAAAAGAGCTTTCAAATTCTGAAAAATCATCAATCGATAATGATCAGGAGTTAAAGATTTCAGAACAATCTTTGAATCCAGCAAACAATGCTACGGATAAAGATACATCAGAAAGTAAAACTCTTCAAGACAGAATAGAGAAAAGATGTACAGATAATGTTTGTGAAGAGAAAAACAAAGATAACATTGACGAAGAAACTCCTAACAAACTATTCAATCCCGTTTTACCTCAGGATACAAGATCGGCGCTACCACAAGACTTATCGGCTGGCTCGACTGGGAAAATGTGGTATTGGTGTGGTTCTGGAAGATTTGTTCTTGCAGCTAACTCTGAAGAAGGCGATGCAATATGTCTTCAGCTACCAGATCCGGAGTCGATAAATTCAGAAGGCAGTGCCCAAACTGGAGGCGACTGGGCCGGCCATACTTTCCTCGATACAAATAACGAGTTTGATTAAAATTTTGTTGCCTTTTACATAGTTTCGAGAAATAAAAGATATTTTACAGATATTGCAAGTGATCAAGTTTATTAGAAACTAAGGAATTGTACAAAATTAAATATTTAAGAGTGTAATTTCTGCTTATGTTTTTGACGAGGTATATATTTTTAATTGTTTTATTTCCCACCAGGACATACTATTTTCTTTTGAGCGTACAACATGAAAAAAATCAGGTTCAAATTGAGAGCATGTAACTTACTTACTTAATTTATGTAGCTAATGCACTTTAACACTTGATCAATTTTAATCTATATGTAAACACCACTGGAACTTTGCTAAGTAATATGTTCAAAGTCACAACATTTGCAAGATCAAAAGTGTCAGAGAATAAAATATTTAATAACTTTACACCTAGATCTACATTGTGTTTTATAGTTTTATGTGTTGTGGGTACATGAACATAGATTAGTAGTCATAAAACTTAAAAATCATGTAATGTTATGAAAAAATTATCAGTAATAAAGAAGCATCTGTTCTTAAAAGGAAAATTAAATTGAATATTTAGTATTTGAACTATTTGCTTTTGTGAATCATAAATTTGTTATCTTTACAAAACATAGGACTAGTTTATTTCCCTTTATTTAGGATACCACATTTCTCCTTCCAGGCTGCTATTGATCTCCTTTGCTCAATTGAATAAGACAACTCAAAAATGAGATATCAGTGATTTCAATGTTTACACTCATCCTTAAGGAAAAATTTAACTAATGGCCCAGTGAAAAACAATGGTTGAAAAACTGACTCATACTGATAAGTTTCATATTGGTTGTCCAATGGCGTATGAATTGTTATGATTGTCACTGTCAAATGCACAATTAAAGCAACTTTACGTCGGCTCCCTCAAGGATTTTACCTTTAGAGACTGATAAAAGCTCAAAATAATTGGGCGTGCCTAAAGTTATCAGTACAATGACGTTCAAACAAAATAATTGGTATGGGCTAACTTAGAACCTATTTGGACAGTCACTTTGGCTTAGAAGCGTTGAAGAGTGAAGATGCTTTCGAGAATGGGAGTATTTTACTACTATGGTAAGTGAATGAAATATTTACTACATTTTTAATAAGTCGTAGGCTATTAAGTTAATTGCAAAGTGTACTTATATTTATTTAGAGCCGTATTCTGATCTATAAAAGCTTTATGACCTGACAAAATTATTGGGTTTGAAAATATTTTAGAAACTCAATTATCACCTTGATTTCATAACATTAAATTTAATTATGAAATCAACATAAACTATATAAAATTTCAGAAAATAGCAATATCCTACACTGCACTTATATAAATTATTATAAAAATATAAATATAAAAATTATATAAATGATTGTTGAATTTTTGTGTAAAATAAAAACAAATTGACAAGCTCTTAGATAAAATTTTAGATAGGTGTTTAAAAAAAAGAATCATATGATAAATAAAAAGAAAAAGTTAACGGAGATCATCTTTTAAAGGGAACGAAGAATGGTTGTTTCGCTACAATATAACTTAACATAATATTCTTTAAGTATATAAGTATGTTAAGTAATATACATCAGATTACGTATAGCTTTTTAGACAGGAAATTTTATAGAAGAAACCTCAACCAATTTTCCCTTTTCTATTACATTTAAAAATATGAATTCCTCTTGCTTAAGGTGGAAACACACACTTTTATAATTTTATTTCACTTGCTGTGATGTTTTTCAATTTCATAAACTCTGTTAGTTACTCCTTTGATGTTTAACTAACTCCGCTAGTTAACCTTTTTTAAGTAAATGTTATGTCAAGAATTATCTCCTACAGTATTCCCTAGCATGATTAAGTCCTTACCTTGGCACATTATTGTTCCAAGGAGTTTGATAAAGGCCTACTTATGTTTTCAGGTAAAACTTTAACTAGTAAATAGTTGAACAAGTATCAGTGTGGTCTAGGTTTTAAATTTTATGAGAAACAAGAATTTCACTACAAATTTCTGGGGAATCCTGAATTTTAACAAGACAATTTATTCCTTTTTTTGATAGACTTAAAAATACTAGTGATTGGTTCACAACGAACAAAGTTTGACTGTGTCATTATTGCTAATTGGAAACTTTATAATCCTCCTAACAACTGACTTTTAATAGAAAGTTCAAAAAAATGTTGTATACAAGAACTGTTTCTGTATTTTTAGGTCTGCCTCCACAAAGAGCCATAAAATATGTTTTCTCCTCACCAAAAACCGTTTACGATTTGTTTTGTTTAATAGATGTAGTAACAGCTTTACATGAACTATTGGTAAAATCTAGGGTAGTTTAGAAGGATTTGAACCTTTTGACTATTTATATGACTAGACATTCCATCCCAATGTTAAAGATGTTGCCAGTTTTAAAATTAAAATCACAGTAGTTGATGTGAGCCAAACTAAAAATTGTGCTGATGTAAATTACTGATTTCTGTGAATACACCGTGTTTTTTTACCAAGTCAAACTGATGAACTGAACTGACTTATTATTATGAGCTATAGCAACTGTTATGAATGACCCAATAACTATGTCAGAAACGAAAGAAAAGGTAGAAAATAGAATTTTAGACACTAGCACATTCTGTGTCTGGCTCACACAACTATGTAATTTTTTAGTAAACAAACTGGCAACAGCTGGTCCATATAATTGTGACATCTACTTCAGTATCCAATAGTCAATGATTGAACCCAAGATTCAACTATAAAATGCCACATTCAATTAACTTAAGATATTCACTGAAATAATTTTTTTCAGGAGCTATCGTTTACGTACTTCTCACAGCTGAGACGTGCATCAGCTTCGCTGCGGACCCTGAGTTGGCATCTGAACCCCTTGAAAAAGAAAATGCATCACTTCCCATGTCCGGGCTAAGTTCGTTTCCTGGTTGGTGGGACGGACCAGAAGAGAACAGTACTTTGGAAGAAACAACCGAGACCGGAAATCTAACCTCTGACCAATCAATGACTCCTGAAATGCTAACGGAGACTCTAGTTCCGGAAAATGGAACGTTTGTTTTTACAAACGATTTTCTAGTTGAAGGAATCGAAGAGGAAATGATGCAAACTGCAAACGGTACCGAAGTTTTGATGGAAGATTTCCTTGTGGTTCCACTTGAAAATGTAACAGCAGCAAATATGGGAGAAACGACGGTCCTTCCAGAAGATGCGATCGAGGAAGCACAGAAAAAGCCAGCTGAGATGTCAGAAACTACAGAAGTGGTAAAAGAGCCGCAAGAACTTTTACCTACTCTGTAATCTACAGAATAGGATTGGAGAAAGTGCATTTCCTTATGTCACCTATGTTTTACCCCAAGTACGAGAGTTAGCATTGTAATTGTATGCAAGCTTCAGTATTTTTCAAAACTCTCCACTGTAGAAGACAACGTTTAAAGCTTTTAATTGAATACTGATAAATTATTGCCATTACTTATTTTGTTGGTTTTTAAAACACTATTAAAGTTTATTGAGCTATAATTCTTTGATTTAAAAATGTCACCCATCTGTAATCTTCCTTGATTTTTTTTTAAGATTAGGATTAGGATTGCATGATAAATTTTCAAAATGAGTTATAGAACATATTACTAAAAAAACTATTATAAAAATAGTATAAAAGGATGACAACAATTAGGAGACTAATCACAATTCCAGAAATAGCAACGGTATCACATACTTTCTCCCATTTGCTTGTCAAAAAGCCCTTAGTAAATGGTGGGAGAAACAATGATATTTTGTGAACAAAATCACAATAATTGCACCAACCTTTGGACCATAATGTTTACAGCAGTTGGAGTTGCACCAGTAAGAGTTAAAAGGACCATAGCATACTCAATTTTTATCAAAATCGTTTGAGCCGTTTCGTTTTAATTCAACTAAACATTTATTTATGGGTTTTACCGTTTATCAAATAATATCACCATTAAAAATTAAAATAGAAAAAAAAAACCTGGAGATACCATGAGTTAGTGCCTACTACAGTGCCTACATACCAAATGTCATTAAAATTGGACCACAGAGTAGTCTGTAGGTCTGTACACATCCACACACAGGCATTGCTTCGAAAACCACCGAAAACCACTTTTCTTGGTTCATGGAAACTCAAAGAAGATTTTTCCACCCAAACTCGAAAAGGTTTACTAACACAATATATCAATTTTTTACAACGTTATAAAAGAGGGTGAAAAGAACATTCCAAATTTTATGACAAATTAATAACATTTATTGTATTGTCAACAAACTGTAGCTTGGTAATCACTCTTCGCATTACAAACATTTACATTTTATATAACATCGTAATAGCTTTAAAAAACCATTATAAACATTCAATAAGACTTACAGCAAAAGCTATGAGATTTATACATGATATAAAACAGTGTAAAAATCAAAATAGCAACATCGCACGTTTTACAAAAGGAGTAAAAATTTCTATAAAAGGATGACACCAGAGGCAGGCTGACCAGGCACTGATAAGAGCATGCAATAGTGATAACAATCACAGTAGGGAGGGGGAGTGAAACAGGGGGGTCTCTATCACTACAAGCACTTTACAAAACTGTTTACATCGGGCACTGTAAGCGAGCTAATCTAGTGTCTTTCGTTGATACAAATGTCTTTTAGTCTAAAATAAGTTGAGATTTTTTATTGTCTTGAATTTTGGCTTTTCAGAGTTAAGTCCACAACCTAGGTGGTTCTATGTGATAAAAGTCTGAAGAAAGATTTTAACTTTTGAAGTGTAATGTTTCAAAGAAAAAGAACCATACAAGTTAATTACAGTACAAGAGATTCCCTCTTGTTCAAAATTGCAATCCTCATACAAAAACTTGTTTTTAACTGTATAAAAGTTAGCTTAGGAAAAGACCTAAAATCTAAAAAAGAGGGAGGTTTTTATAGAACCATTTGTATACTCCAAACTACATAAACTTTCTTACACTTCCTTTTTTTTTTAACTGACCTCAACTAAGTCCAACAACCTTGGTTATTAAATCACAACACTGTTATCATTATTAATGTAAACACAAACATAGTCTTTCTAGTTGAATAGTAGTTTTAGTTCTTAAAATAAATTAGAATTAAAGTTTCGCTAAGTTTAAGTGTTTTAATAGTTAAAAAGCTTAAACTGTATCTACGTTAGCAAAATTTTAAAAATTAATAAATCTCTAATAAAAAATATTATTTATTTATTATAAAAGGTAGGCTCATTTATTGTTTACTTCCTCAAAACGATAAAAGAGCCACAATTTTAATTCGTTCGTTTTGTAGTTTTATACACCACAAAAATGTTGCCTTTTAAAAATAAACATGATTATTAGCGTGATAATTCTTTTCAAGAATATTGAATCTTGAAAAGAAAATCAGTAAACAATAAAAATTATAACAAGTTTCATCTCTTACATATAATGTATGAGCACAAATAAATAAAATAATTAATTTTTGGTTACACTAAAAAGTTTTACAAAGTGTATACATGAAATTTATTATAAAAACAGCTGACTTTCGATAATTTTTAGACACTCAGATATGAGGAAAAGTAGTTAAAAAGTAAAAGTTATTCAACTTTTGACACATATTGTATTAATTCATAAAATAATATGTACATTCATATAAATTACTTAAGTAAAAATTTTTAGTTTCGTTGAAGCAGACCAGCTGCTAAATTCTTTTGCGATGTGTATAATGTCTACTACACATAATCGATTGTCTTTTCTCATTGGCAGTTGAATTACACAGTTAGGAACAGCTGTTTTGGAGTAGTGAGATCACCAATTACATCAAAATGTTTTAAAATTCAAGATAAAAAATTACAGTAAATCACTGTTGAAACATTTGTACTTCACTTTTTCAAAAACATTTTTTGCCTGAATACCAAGTACTTTTGGCATCGTCAATTCTTATGTGCCTAAACTAAGAAAATAAGGCATGCTTACAGAACATTTTACAACCTAAACGAAGCGACCAAAAACGCACGCTCAGATTTAGCACTAGTACAAAAGGCAGTTAAAGCTTTTTTGTTGTAAAAATAAAGTATTTATAGTATTTATAAAACATAATCAAGTATGTACACCGGATAAATTGTTTTGGTAAGAAGCGACATACTTCATTTGTACAATATATACTCTACAATATACATATAATAACACTAATACTGTTGGTTTCAGTAAAAGTTTCTCATACAGATAAAATTATTTACAAAAATTAAACATCTGACTTTGGTTGGGGTTCATACTTCGCTAGGGATAAAAAACCGAAGTTTTCGACTACTTCGTTAAAACTCTTGGTCGGTTACGATAACTAAATACCTTGAGCAGTTGTTGATGTTTTTGTAAATTAGGTACTCTATGTTGGAACACTGTAACTGGTAATTTGATGAGAAACTTTTATAGAATCTTTGGTTTCAGAGGGTCGACTCGACACCGGTTCCGTTGCTAGCGTTGTCAGGGGGACTTGGGTAGTTGGCAGCCTCTTGTAGCCTCATTAGCATGTTGAGCTGGAACAAAATACCACTATTATGAGACGGGAACACATGACTATACCACTGTTATTAGACGAAACACAAACAGGCGCACTTCAACTCAATTATTAAGATGGGTACGCCACCTAGGTACGTATTTTAACCCAAATATGAGTGAAGGATGAGTGTAGAATGGTGTGAGATGAGCTGTGTAGCTTTGTTACTGCCTAAGATCAGCTGTTTCATTCGTCAGAATCAATTCTTAAAAGCCCAATGATCAAGATGGGTCCAGTTTCGAACCATCAAAAAGCTACAAACCTTTCTCAGGATCGAACCGGTGACCTTTTGATTACTAGGGATTCATACAGAATAGGGATTCTTGACAAGGACATTGACACTACCAGTACAAATACACACACAAAATGCATTACATATTTAGAAATTCTTGTAAAGTAGGATCGTGCATAATGCGATCAAGTATATACACACCAGAGGGTCTGCTTCATTATCGCTCTGGTTGGAGCTGAGGGACTTTGCGCTGCTGCCGATGCCGACGATGTCTCTGTCCGGAGTGTCGTACCCGACGTCCTCCGGCCGCAGACGTATCAGAGCCTCCGACCCTCCTTGTACCGCGTCACTGATCCACGGATACGTCTGCAAATAAGACAAAGAATGATATTACACATTTAGAGAAAAAAAAATACAGAGAAATACGATAAAATTACCATCTGTTTTTTGTGTAAAAGGTAAATACATTTGAAATACAATTTATGCGTACACTACTTTATCTACGACTGCTTTTTAATTACTAACAATCATTACTTTTTAGAAAGGTTATGTTTTCGTTTATAACCTCTCATTGCCACTGAAAGTGATGCAACGACTCACTACCAACCACTAATTGCACCAATCATTAACAACTAAACTGGTAAACAGCTGATTAGTTGAGGTTCGAAGCATTACAATTTTACTTCTTTTCTCTCAATCCTTGAACCTCATAATGGTTCTGTTGGTCTGTTCCTTGTGTTAAGTAAAACAATGCTTCCTTACATTCCAGGGCACTATTTTATAGCTAGGAACCGTTTACATTACCTTAGGCTAGACTTAAAAGGGTCACATCATTGCCACAAAGCTAATCTATTAGTGATTGGTGAAATTTGAACTTGGGACCTTGGGACCAAAGCCCTGTGCTCTACCACTGTACCAGCTTGCTCCGCAATGGAGAAATAATTAAAAACTTTAGTCTCAAGATACCTGGCAGATGTATGAGGTAGGGTCGTCCCAAGGAGCTCTACAGCCGTACAGCTGCAGACCCTCCCTGACTGCCTCCAGTAGGTATGGCACCACGGAGTAGTTCCACAGGTCGGTGAACCACACCTGGGAGCCGTCGGTGTCCATGGGACAAGTCAGGAACAGCCGGGGACCTGCGGAGGTGTCATGGTTTAGAAAAAGAAGGAACATATTTACAACTTAAAAAAATATGTTTACAGCTATTAGTTAATAATAATGTTTGAGCTCAAAAAAACTGTGTTAACAGCTGTTTTTATCATCGGGTTTTCTGTTACTCGGCATTTATGCTCCCAGAACCTTGTTTTTGGAAAATTTTTAGGGGGGGGGGCTTGCCAAAAAAATTTGTAAGGTCCTCTATGGGTAAAATATAAATTACCGAACAGCAGAAAACTTGTGTGTCCCAGAAAAGTATAGCGAAATATTTGCTTACTATGACAAGACACACGGTTCGATTAATGGCCAAAAAATGGTGACTGTTTATCAATTGACTCTTCGCTTATGTGAAATACGTTAACAGTAATTCAAAAACAGTGCAACTCTCAGCTACTTTTAAGTTAAACTCGCATACAATAAAATCTAGTAAGTCAGGCAATTCACTATCTACTTTTTTAAAATGTTAGAATGTAAAAAAATCTGGAATAGTAGATTATAAAATACTTGGCTTTTCAGATAAATTCAAGCTTTAACAAAAACATCTGGGACTTAACAAGGAGATCAGAGGTGCTTGACAGCAAAAGACATCCAATTAACACCACCTTAATGAAACAATACCTACACTTTTTTCTCTGCACCTCACAGAGGAATAGGAAATCTAAATCGACATCGTCCAATCATCATGCTTTATCCATCAACTCACCAATGGTAACATCAGATGAACTGTGAGTCTCGAGGAACTGGTTGAGGTGGTGCCACACCCGAGGCAGCCACTCCACCACCCGCACAAGGTCACTGTCTCGCGTGCCCGCCCGACACTCGGCCTCAACCAGGCGTCGGGCGAGGCATCGGCCAAGCAGCCCGCGCACAGGCTCCATATGGTTGGCGCACAACACCCAGCGGAAGTTGTGGTGCAGTTGGAGATTGGTGGTGGCACAAGTTGCCTAAAAAATAAGAGACATTGATTTCATTTTATGAAAAATTTTATAATTGGTGTTTTTTGGAACCACTTGGAAAATTATGCCAAGTCTACAAAATGGCTGAATGAATTTCCACTCTATTTCTAAGCAAAATTCAAAATTCTGTGGTTTTGAAAAATAAATTGTTGGTAAGTCGTTCCAAACCTGGGAACAACCAGGATAGAAGAGGATAAGTATATATATGCTAGCTATAAGTTGATCAATGTAATTCTAATTCATTCATAACATTGCCAAAAAAGCTACTAGCTAACTAACCTTTTTGGAAAAGTTATGCTTGCTTAAGTAACCGGTTTGATTCTGAGACGATTTAGTAGCTTTTTGATGGTGTCAAACTGGACCATGCTGTCGTTCATCATTTGACTTTTAAACAAGTGGTTTTGTACAAGAGGCAGTTTATCTCTTACAAAGCTATCATTTCATTCAATAATCATCCCCTCTTCTTCACCTAAAATAAGCATCCTGGAGTGTCCTAAACTAATCTAATCTGATCTAGACTAGTTACAACTTAGCAACAACACCTCAAGGTAAAATAAAAAATACTACTAAAACACAAGAGCATACGAGTGTTTGCTCTACCTGGTTCATGGTGCCGATGATGTAGGGACAAGCTTGGTGTTTAGTGGTGAGCAGTCCGTTGAACACCTCGCCTAGACTGGCCGCATGTTGTAGGTTGTCCAGTATGATGACGGAAGGCAGTTCACTAGCGTCCAGCTCACACTGCTCGGCCACATGCGCCAGATATCCTCTCAACTCCTTACTGCTCTTGTGGTCCACACTGAAAAATATTGACGGACAATCATTAACTAATAGAAGCAGCAAAGATGTTTTAAGTTAAATATCTTAGGAAAATTTTCATTATTACAATTAGAGATACATTTATAATACATTTAAAATGCAGAAATCTTATAATGATTCACAAGGTAGTAAGTTCTATTCTTAGAAAATTTATTACTTTATGATGGCTTGAAAATGAACCCAGCGAGCTATCTTTTATGATTGAGTGTAATAAGTGATCTTGACTGAAGAGTGATTAAAACCACAGTTACAAGAAAAAAAAAAGCATGGGCAGACGATGTTGTTCAGCTACTCGTACATTATTCACTTAATTGTAACACAAATGCCAGTACAAAACTAAAACAATTAAATTAAAATAAACTTGTTTGCCATGATATTCTTGTGTGTGAAGAAAGTCAGGTTTCACAACACTATTGCTCAAATTTTACTTAATTTATCTTGGATTCAGTTTTTAATACATGAAAAAGTGATTCTAAGCTTTGACAAAAAACTATTGTGATACTGTACATGCAGTACATCATGTGATGAATGAAGATTTAAACCTTCTTCGATCAACAGTCTTTGTAAAAGACGTCTGACAATTTCCACCTACAACCATAGTTCGACTGACTGACTCACTTGAAAGTAGCGATGGCCTCGGCCATACTGTCCTTGCCCTGCCGCAGCACCAGGTACTCGGCCAGCTTGTTGGCCAAGTAGGTCTTGCCAGTGCCACTCGGCCCACACAGTATGATGCGTCTGTGGTCACTCAGTAGCGACACGTACCTCTGTACGATGGACTTGGGTATGAGTGTCTGGAACACCAGTGCGTCCACACTGCCGTTGTGTAAGGCACCTGCAACGTAACAATTAGCAATCTTATGAACCTCGTAAAAACTCTATTCATGCGTGTTGGATATATGACAACTTTTGGAAGAAGCTATCCAACTTTATAACGGCTCTGTAGAGAAAGTGGTAGAGAGTTTACAAAATGGTTGCAGTCATGGCTGTTGCCAACTATGCAGTGTTGGCACATATCACTAGTTTATTTACAACTATGTACAATTTATGTTTTTGTCATGACAGCAGCCATTTTGTAAATTCTCTACCACTGATAAAGTCCCCCAGGACAAAATATTGTTGTATAGTGTCTCTTAGTTATGTTCTATGGCCTACCTACTGGGGGAGCGAGCTGGTCTAGTGGTTAGAGCGCGGGACTTCAGTCCAAGAGGTCCCAGGTTCTAATCCCGTTAAATCACCAATGGATTTTATCTACGTGATAATGCCGCAACCCCTAGGCTTGTGTGCCTGAAGTAATGTGAAAAACAAACCCAGGCTCGTGCCTATAGTCCTGGGGGGACAAAAATAAAAAAATGCCTACCTACACTTCTTCAAGGTAAGCTATCTGCTATCCTTATTCTACAATTCAAAATCCTAGCTTAAAGCCCTTGAACAAAATCTTTCCTATTTAAGTCAGCCTGCCACCATGAAACCCCATAAACCTACGCACCTACTCCCTATGTTGCACCCTTAACATACAACAGTAAGTAGTTTGTACCCTTAAGGCAGACAGAGATGTTGCAAGTTTCGCCGACCAGGTATCCGCAGGGAAGCAGGTCGGGTAGGTTGCTGTCCTTGTACCGCACCACTTCTCCTATGTGATAGCTCCAGATACAGTCAACGCCTAGACCTCCCAGAGAGCCTAGAGGGTCTATCCTTTCACAGTACTCCTGCAAGCACACAGAAGGAACATTAGCTCAACACATATTTGAAACAAAGCTAAATAAGAAATAGAGTTTAGCTAGTTTACTTTAGAAAATTTTAGTCCAGGGGTCTCCAGGGGATCTCAAGAGCAACTTATTAAGAGTTCATCTTTGTGTGGCGGTGCATGATACCCTGGGTACCTAGGATGATGTTTAATGATATTGGTTGACTTTTCGCGATTTTACTTCAGATCACACATTTTGGTTGGAAGAGTCCACAAAAAACTATTTTTGTTATGTTGAGATAAGGGATGATTAAAATAAATAGGTAAAAATCTGAAATCCTGCAGCTCAATGGGCTGAAAGACATAACATAAGCAAACTTTCCAATTGCGTTACCTTAAAGGCTCGTCGGACCATGGCGTCCAACATCTCCCACTTGGTATTGCCACTGACAGAGAGGGTAGCTATGGGACACTGAGGTGCCTTCTCCACATACTTGTGGTAACTGCCATGAGAGCCCAGGTACACTGACACCAACACACGCTTGCCATCAGGGTCGTCCATCAGTGTCCTGTCTTCTGTGGGAGAATTATCAAAAATATTAGTTTAAACTCGGAGACCTCTTTGGCAGCAACAGGTTTTGGACACATTTGACTTGGACGTACACACATCTATGAGGGTGTATAAATTAAGGTGTTCATGACGTGCCTTAATTTAAAGGAGAGAGCGTCAATTTCCACTAATGTTATTAAGGAAGAGAAGATAAATTACTTAGAAAAGATAAATTGTGGAAGAGGGTTTGAAACAGACTTCAATAGTAGACAGGAAAGTACAAAACTTGTAGCTGGTTTTAGATTTGAAATAGCTTGATTAGTTGTAAAAGGAGCTCATCAGAGATCTTAACATACAAACAGCCCTCAGACTTGTTAGATGTACAGACTTGCGAAGTTTGTCCATGTAACAAGGATGAATAAAGAAAGAGCAGCTACAATTTGGGTTGAGAAAGAATTTGTTGGAAAGGGAAGAAAAGCTGGAAGACCACAAAAACATTAGCAAACACCATGTGAAAGAGAATCTAATTTTGACAAGTAATGAACTACAGATAGGGAAGAGGAGAGATTTTATATAGAAATGAGTACAGTATGCTAGGACTTTTAACTAATTTAAGATTTCCTGCAAAGAATTAGATGTTTTAGCTTAAGCAATTGGCAAGAACATTTGTGAAATTTCACATCACAAACAATCCCATCAAACTCCAATCACAACAAACACAGGGTCAAATTTTCTACATTTTGTGTTTTATGACTAAATTCTAAAGCACCTCTCCTTACCTGATGATGTTATGGCGTCTCCCATACTGTATCTTCTCTCCACCTCGTTCAGTGGCAGTGAGCTCTGGGACGATGTTAAAGATTTGCTTGTCACTATCCTCTGAAGCCTCTCGTTGTCCTGCTTCAGGTTCAACATCTCGTTCTGAAACAAAGCAATTAATTAGGGTAAATAATTTTCAAACTAATGTGCAAAGGTTTAAATTATAGTTTTACTCAGCAAAAATGTTAGCTTTACAGGTTATTTATTAAATTATACTATTAAATTATACAGTACTCGGTCTGATCCCCAGGGTCTTTGAGGGATTTGTTGGATTTTCAATAACAATTATTGGTCAATGATCACTCTTAAACCTGATTTGGATGGAAAAAATTAGTGTGGTATTTCCACAGTGACGTACCAGCATGTTGTTATAGTCCAGTAAGAAGTTATACATTTTTTTTCTCTCTTTTAAACTTTGCATTTGCCCAGAGACTACAGATCTGTGTGTGGAACGTATCCAGCAAAGCAAGGAGTGAGCCGGTACAGTACAAAGGTGAACTGTACTGAAAAAATGTTTGCGGCAGTGACCAGGATCCGAGCCCACGACATCGCTGTCTTGCACCCGAAGTCTGTGACGCTACAAACTGAGCCACCGACTCACCTAAGTAAATTTTACGCTGAGAGACTGCGTTCCAGCTAAATATAACAAAGCTATGTCGATGTACTCTTTTCCTTTGATAAAATAATACGATCTAATCATAAACAATAACTTGTCTCCTAGTTATATAACCAAACAGTAAAGCACAAATCAAAAAATTAACCCTAAAATAATAGAAACAAAATTTTGTTGACACTAGCGTCCAGTGTCACCGTACATGAACTGGACACGAAAAACGTGCGTCAAAATTTACAATGGGATGACAAGTCTACTTGTGTTGTTTAGTCTATGGTTCTACACAAATCAATAGTGACCCTATGTGTTGTTTTCTAACAAATATATTAAACGTGACTTAATTTACAGTTAGCAAAAAAATTTGAATACGCAAATGAAAAAAAATCAAATATTTACCCTCATCTTGATGACCGTATCCTTGAGGGACTCGAGTTGATGAGCAGAGCTGAGCGCTTCCAACCTGATGTCTGTCAACACAAGGTCCTTCTCTCTCAGTTGTTTCTTCAGCTCCTCTACCACTGTGTCCCTCTCGTACGGCCTGACCAACAAAACACAAGTAAGTATGACACAAAACACAATAAACAGTTAACATGATTGTAAGACCACAATCTCTAAAAATATTTCCATTATTTTATTTGATTTTAAACTCAGTTTATAAGTCAAATCTTTAGAAACACCAAGCGTAAAGTGCCAACTTCCTCATGTAGGCCTAATAAAAATATTGGTGACTAAGTGACCTTGTTAATTTTGTTTAAACTCTGGTCAATAATTCTAAGCGATTTACAGAAATATCGGCTCTGTCGATACAAATCTCTCTAGTTCAGGTTAGAGCTGTTTCATCTTGTTTTTGAAATCGAGATAACCTACTGGGTAATGCTCGTAGGCATAGCAGAACTTGAGCATAAGCCTCTTAAGACGTTGAGTGCTGATGACAAAAATTCACGCCATTGCTTAGCATTGAAATAATTGCAACATTCATATTTAAACATGTCGACCCCACTAATGACCTACAAGATCATTAAGATCATTAAGAAGTGGTTAAGATGACCTAGCAATACACGTAAGATTGGACGTTCATTATTTTCCAGCAGTTTTCATTGTACAGGTGATTTGTCCAATACACTTCCTGTCAAAGTTAACCTCACAAAAAACGGGGTTTTTTGTAATCAAAATGTAATAAGCCAGTCTATTTTTTTAATGGAACCATTCTACTTTTGTCTGACTGAATACGGATTAAGCTTTTGTAGCTAAAACAACACTTTTAATGCATCTAGGATTTAATTTTAAATCTGAGAATAAACTCATGCAAAACGTTTTCAGTGGCTGTCCACAGTTGGGGGACTCACAAGTTGTGGTCGACGGCTCCGTGGTCGTCTCCGTTGGTGTGGTGGGGATGACCCAGGAGGGGAGAGGAGGGGGCAGACATGTCTGACGCTCCCCGTCCATCCTCCACGTCCGACACCGATCCTGCTCGGCTCTTCTTGCCTCTGGAGAACGCCTTGTTGAACGAGCTTCTCAACTAAAAGTAAGATTATACGAATAATTTCAGCCTAGTTACAATCATGAAAACATAAGACACCGTCATAGTCAGGACCAAAAACCGAAAATTCTAGATTAGCAAGAATAGAAAGGTCACAAAAAAAGGTCAGAAGGACTATGACTAAGGGTATTACGTCATGTTATAGATTTAATTGACATTTACCAGATCACACAAACTGCTATCACGCATATTCAGTGAGTGTGAGGCTAATTTATTGTGAAAAACTCCTTTAGAGTTACATTAACTACATTAAAATAGCCATAATTACCTTTTCGTTTAATGTGACATGAAAAAATTGTAGATATTGATTTTATTTTGAATAATTAAACATGATTTATTGGAATTCATAAGCCTCGGATAACAAACCAGTTCCTAGAAAAATACTGCATTAATACATATTCATTCTTTAAAATTTTTTGACAACAGTTTGGTGTACCAAAATAAATATCCATGTTTAGCATTTAACTGTATAGCTTATTGCCAAAAAAAGATTTGTTCCTAATTTTGAAACACTAGAACAACTTTTGCATTACAAATTACCGATTGACACACTTTTACAACACTCTCAATAGATTAATATAAATTAAATACACCATAATTATGAGAATTACGCACAAAAAATGTTACACACATGAAGTAATTCTAATCAAACCAATGGCACATACCCAGCCACGTTTCTTCTTCTTATCACCCTCCGTGTGGTTTGACAGACTGCAAGCAGACGACAGAGAGTTGAGACTAGACACAGAGTCAGTAGACAGCTGTCTGGAGATGTTACTTCCTGCAGCATCTGTGAAAAAAATACCATTCAGATCGTTCTCATAGTTCACCATATTATTATTACTAATTGAGATCGGAACACACCGCCTCGGTGCGTATTCTAAACCTATGAATGAAGGATGAGTGTAGAATGAAGTGATACGTCTTGTATAGCTTTGTTATTGACTAAGACATACTAGCTATTTAATTAGCCTAGACCAATTAAAAGCTCAATGATCTAGGACAGCAGGTCCTCGTACCATCAAAAAGCTACTAACTTTTCTCAGGATCAAACTGGGTGACTTTTAGACTACTAGGAAAGCACTATAACCACTCAGCTACCTAGCAATGATTTAATAAAACCAAGAAGGTAATAATGTTTGGATAAAAAACAGGAACATCCAAGTAATGCATTTTTACACTTGAAACTTACATTGACATAGATAATAGACAACATTCAAATAAATGAGTGGAACCGGACAGAAAAATCTTCAAAGTACAATGTAGCGTACCTGTAGAGTTGTTGTCGGCCGCATTGTTGATGGTGTGTCTGCGAGTCAGTGGAGGAGAGACGTGGCCGGACGTCAACCCAGCTTCTACACTCTGTTTACGCAACAGCTCTATCGTCTGCCGCAACTCTTGCAGCTCACAGTCCTGGACAACCAACAGAAGAAGTTAGACAAATGTTGAAGTTCCGAGACTTAGCAATCAGTGATTGGTGGAGTTTGGGCCACTAGGGAGTTCATCAGATCAGGGTATTAATGACTATTACTTCTCCAATAATACTCAGGAATGTTACTTATCCTTACAGAAATAGGTGAAATAATATTATTATTTTTGTCACCACTTCCTCGTCAAGAACGTTACAGCTGGTCGCCGTTTGCCGTTTATATGAAGGCAGGATCAGTGTTATTTCACTTTCTTGTTCTAACAGTTCAGGTGACGTTAAAAAATAACCGTATTCTCAACAGTCATTTACCAAGGTACCATTATTTGATGCTCACTGTACATGCAAGACAATCAGCGGCATAGTTGTTTTATTTTGTTCCTTTAAACAGTTCAGAAGACACTATTCAAGTATTAATGTATTCTCAGTCATCTTTTACCAGGGTATTAGCTGTATTAGCTAACAGACGTCTACTTCAGAAATGCCAAAATATTCCTTAAGCCGATTAATGTAACTTAGCCTACATAAAAGATCCTAAAACTAATTGTTTCTACAGGAAAAAAAAACTAAGTACTCAGATTAAATTTTTATTTCCAAACAGCACCAATCCCTCATTTCTTCTTGAATACATCCCGCTTGGCGTACATGGGGCTAAAGTTGGTATCCGAATCTCTGATAATAACCAGGGGCGAACTAGCCGAGTCGTCGCTTGGAAATTGACCCAAGCTGGAGCCTGATTGGTCCATCGGCCCGACGTTCCTAAACACCTCCCGTACAGACGTTCGCCTACTGTCACTTTGAGCCACTCGGACCAGCAGCGACCGTATCACACCCTCTACCACCGCCTCATTGGACGACCCCGGACACAACAACTCGTGGCGACCTGGCGACTCGTCCACTGGCCGAGTTTGTCTGGTCGAACTGCTCTGTTTCATGATCGCCCCTCTTTGGTGCATTTCGTGTCTGGTCGAAAAGATTACATGTGTTCTACTTGACTTGAATTTGAGTTTGACTTTAACAAGTATCCCGGACAACCAATATTTATTTTAAATAGTGTTATAGGAAAAATACAAGTGGTAAACAATAAAACATTAATAAGAAATTATAAAATACAGTTTGGGAATTGAATTATAACGAACAATGGACAGGTCAGAGTACGCTTATGAGAGAGAATAATAATAGGCATAGACAGTTATTTCAAATTTAGATAAAATTACAGTTCAACATGGAGGCAATAATTATATTAGTTTTATGATATTAACTAGTTGTCTGGTATAAAACGGCCAGATATGCAACTCATAAAATAGGTGTACCTAATGGAAAAATGTAACAAGATATTTTTTGCATTTTTATCCACTAATCTTATAATTATTATAGACAAATTTAACTGAGAGGACAGCAGCAACAATTTCCTAAACTAAGTTTTTAAAAATATTCAGGTAAAAATTGTGCATTTTATATTTCTAAAATGTTTTATACCAGGCTAATACTAGTTGAAATAAACAAATTGAATACAGTTGTTTGATTAAGTGGAACATTTGTACCTATATGATGAAATTTCATAGTTTTCTCCCTGTTTAAGAAATTCAAAGCATTTTTACAAGTCATGGTATTTTATTATTACATTCTATGACAATGATAATCTAAGATAAGAAATATAAAGCAGTGTTTCTAGTAATTTATTCACACTTTTATCATTAGTTTTATCAACAGACTCATTATTACAGTTTTAACTTAGTTGATAGTTGGGGATTTAATGAGCCTGAGCCTAACACTAAAATATTTTTGTTCTTAACTTGGTTGAAAAATTAGATTCTGCTAAGGGCCTACTTGACGAAAATAAATCCGCCCAAATTAAATTAAACTACAATACCCCCGCCGCAGCAAACCTGCAGACTTTGTGAATTTCCATTTGCCTGATTGGATTTAAACATAAATGTCTCCTTAAAAATATCACATTCATTCCCTATTTAAACAGAATTGAGTACTTAGGTTTGCTGCAACAGGGAGGGTAAAAAAGTTTTTTTATGTAGAATATTAAAAGGTACTGTAGTTTAGTAAGAAATTAATGTATTTTCCAACTTTTATCAAAATATGTTCATAAACAAGCAAACTACAACAGTTGACTTATTCTCCATAAGAATAACATGGGAATTTTAAAATTACAGTTTTTTTTTTTTAATTTTATCCATAACAATTAGGCAAATAATAATGTTTCAATATACTAAATTATTTGTTTTTTTAAGCTCTACAAAATGGTTTAAAAAGAAATTGTGAAAATTTGCGTTTTTAAGGTCAAAAATGGGAAAAACCTATTTTTACCCCATAAAACCCCCCATAAACCCCCGTTCCCATAGTCCGATCATGCTGGTTCGCGAACTCATTCAAGTTTATCCCGCCTTACACCTTCAAACCAAATTTTATCAAAATCGGACAAAAATTACGCAAGTTATTGTGCGGATGGACACACACATATATATATATCTATTTTTTGATAGTTCTGTTCACTTTTTAGGGCTACTTTTTCAATTAATAAGCGAAATAATAAAAACCAGAGTACCCTGAAATTCATTTTTATTTAAACTGATACGTATTTCGGCACTAAGGCCATGATCACAGTATGAGCTATATAAAAGTATGTAAACAAATAAAATAAATAAATAGTTAATAACATATGTTTTGAATTCATATTAAATTTTGATTAAATGGTTAGGTGTATTTTTTAACATGTAAATGTGCAAGATTCTTCCCTGATTTGTCTGATTTTTTCATGTATTGGATTTTGCTTTTGTTTTTGCATTACATTGAGAATTTGGTCCCCGTATTCTTTTGAGTGTAGGTATATTTGTAGCTCTTCTTTTATGTCCATTTTTTCACCCTTTTTTTCATAATTTAGAATTTTGACACATTCTTCTAATTTTCCATAATAGATATATAAAAATTTGAACGAATGGTGTTTTTGGCCTCTAGGGACATCAAAATGAAAAAGTAAATCGGTCCCGGGCTTAGGTCTTACCATGAGACCTACGCTAATAGCTACTTCCCTATAGGGAAATTCGCTAAAAGGAATTAAAAGTAATAACTATTTTATAGACTTTGGTTTTATGTTTTGAACACGCTGGTTAGGATTAGGAACTTCTGTTTACGAGACTTTAGGTTCAAATCCTGCCAAACGCCATTGGCAATTTTCTGTGTGATAATACCTTGACCTAGTGGTTCATGGACGACCTCATGATGCAAAATCACATCAAGTATAAAAAATACACAATTCTCTTGGACATCTTGAAGTTCCCTCTTCAGAAAAATTAATTGATTACATATTATAAAAAGTATGTAGAAGGCTATCTAAAAGTCAAACTCAATTCAAAGGTGAAATGTGAAATGATTTTACAATGAGATTGTATCATTAAAGATTTACAAATCTTACAATTTTGAACACAAATAAATATTGATTTTTATTAATTTTGCTTCGTAAATTCTAAATTGAAGATTTATCAAGACTATGTACAATAACAAGAATAAAAATAAATCAAACGGAAAGAGCCTTTGTTTTTATAGAGGAAAAAACATGCATTGCTAAGTGAGGAGAGGCTCCTTAAAAAAATGAAAACCTAAATAATTTTTAAAACAGATTATTGGTTTGTAAAACTTGTCCTAACCTTCTTCTCTGCAGAAGCTGTGAGTTGTTGAAGTCTCTGTGTCATGTTGGACAGAGATTGCTCAAAAGCCGACACCACGTGCGCCTGGAAAAAAGTAAAACATTATAAGATATTTTTTTATAAGTACAACAATTAAAAAATCAACAATCAAACATTCATGAGTTGTTTGAGTGTAAGATAAAATGTGCATTACACAAATAAACTGATCTTGGTTCTGAAAGGAAATGAAATATTATGTTATGCCCAAATAAGGGTATTTAAAATCTCATACTGGTTTGTATTTAACCATGGATAAGTTCTTATAACGAATAATTTTTCAAGATTGTTAGTAATTTATTGTAAATAGGATCTCCATAATTATTCTTACATAATAAAATTCACATAATGATTTAAATTCAACAGCAAATAAGTTCTTAAAAGAATTGTATTCAAGCGTGAATAAGTTCTTAAAAGGATTGTATTCAAGCATGAATAAGTTCTTAAAAGGATTGTATTCAAGCGTGAATAAGTTATTAAAAGGATTGTATTCAAGCGTGAATAAGTTCTTAAAAGGATTGTATTCAAGTGTGAATAAGTTCTTAAAAGGATTGAATTCAAGCGTGAATAAGTTCTTAAAAGGATTGTATTCAAGCGCGAATAAGTTCTTAAAAGGATTGTATTCAAGCGTGAATAAGTTCTCACGATGGTTTGTAATTATTTGCAAATAATTCTTATAATTAAGGCCTCATAATTAATAATTAAAATCTCATAATGCATTGCATTTAACCATGATTAATCAATCTCTCACGTATTTTGAACCTATTCATAATCTTATACTCCTCTTTCAAGCTAACAGTTTACAGAACCGGCACCTATTTGTTTATTAAATACACTAAACAGTAAAAGATTTTACACAAAATAGACCAAGATAGTTATCCACTAATCATGAAAAATATTAGTCAATTTGAAACACTCAAAAATCCAACCCCCTAACTTCTAGTACCGGAACAATCATGCAGCCGCTAGTTGAGAAGATTAGGATCTTGAGTGGTTTAAATATAAAGCCGACGGCTGTGCGTGTGTGTGTGTGTCGGTGTTATCAGTTTATCAGCAGTGTACGGACTACGGACGCTCCACTTACGGGTGTGTGGGTGAAGCGCGGGCGTTCCATAACGGCACCTCCACACAACAGGCCACACAAACCACACACCGATGTTTGTCGGCCAAATCCAACTTTGTCCCATAAAAAATCACAATATAACGCACTTTATGGGAAAATAAATACCTAACAGAATTTTAGCGACGTTATAACATTTGAACATTTAACATATCATTATTATTCAATTCAATATATGAGCTATTTTGGTTTTTAAAATTCACTTTGTCCCAAATTTTACACTAAAAATTCAACTGCAAAATATTCGTGGTGTATTCGTTAAGTTTCAACTGTATTTTTTGTATATTGATTATTAATAGAGGTTTCTTTTCGTCAATATGTTTCCGAACCTTACACATTTGAACGTTGTATTATTTGTATGGTAAAGTAACATCGTCATACCTATACCCACGAATTATTCGTGATATAACCTCAATTATTTAACAGACTTTCTTACATTTATCAAAAATTTTTTAATAAGGTTATGTTTGATTGTTTTATTACTACCGTACAACCAAATTACGATGAGGACACAATTGGACTATTTTAACCGAAGTAAGAATTAAATATTAGTGTAGAACGGAGTGGAATGCTTTAGCCTAAAAAGCAAATATTTATTTAGTGACTATCATTTAAACCCCCAATAATCACGGACATGATCCATGTTTGAACCAACCAAAACGCTTCTGACTTTTGTCAGGATTGAACCAACAACCTCTTAATTAATAGGCAACCCCTATAACCACTTAACCCAATGTTTGTCTTGTCTGGTTTTTTACGCTTTTGTTAAAATAGAGTTCTGTAAAAGAGGCGTTTTTCCGCTAATCTACATCACAAAAGAGATGGAAGCGAGCTTTAGAGCGCGGTATTCCGGTTCCTGGGGTCCCGGGTTCAAATTCCGCCAAATCGCCAATGGATTTTATCTAAGTGATAATGCCGTAACCTCTAGGTCTAGCCGTCTAGCCACGTACAGTAACGTGAAAAAAATTCCGGGCTCATGCCTAGCGCCCTAGGTAAAAAAACATCACAAAATAACTAGCTAACTTACTTAAGTCTCTACCTTTAACAGAAATACGGGAATCTTAAAAAAAAGACGTATACACCATCCCTCCTATAACGAACCCCTCTAAAACTAACAAGTTACAATTCTGCACGTACAGTATTGTGAGGTCGGCGATTTGCAGAAGAGACAAAAAATTAACCGCTCTGTGGTCGGGAATGCTGGGAATCTCTAGTAATAAATGGAACCGCCTAGACGCCTCATATGTTTCATCGTTGTTGCGTGGAGTGAATTATAACTTAATATTCTATACAAATATATACAGAGTGTTAAAAAAGGTAAGGACATAATTTACGTAATACAGTAGTGATTCCAATATGTCTTTCTGCCTTTTTACTGTTTTCTACCAAAGTTTCAACATTGTTTAAATGGATAATCCTATAGACTGTATAGCAAGATAGAAATTAATTTCTCATTTATTCTCTGTACAAAAGCTTAATACGATATCCTGTAAATTTCCAATTTACTAAATGTATGTATCTTGTATTTTTATTTTTATTATAAAATGTGAAATTTGAGATGCGATATTTTTAATGGTAATTGATAATTGATAATTTTATTTAATTCAACGTAAACAATTAAATAGTTCAGAGGATTTGAGAATTAATTACTAACTTACATATAATATATTAGGCGACGCAACTTGGGCGTATTTTAACACAAATGTGAAGGATGAGTGTAGAAATGAGTGAAATAAACATTTTGTAACCGTATTAGCATTATTACTAAGACAGCTATTTCTTTATTCATAACTGAAATCCCAATGACGACAATTCGTCCTTGAATGCTTCATTTTTGTAACATTTTCTTTTAAATGCTTTAAAACACCTTTTAGCAATCGGGAATAAGTCCACAGACATTCGGAAAGCATGAACATCATTGTTGTATTTATCCATCACGTGATTACGTCGCCTTGATGATGGCGGGTGTAACATCCCCGAAACGTCGAAATTCAACACGGCGAAGCCTAAAAACTATATAGTAGTCACTTCAAAAAATGTTGACACCCATTGTAAAACTAATAAAACAAGCCTCCCTCAATATCCCCAGTAATTATACCAGCAGGTGTGTCACCCCTGGACAGGTTAGGGATGGGAGGGAGGGACGACCCTAGGGATGGGTGTGGCAAGGGACAACGCCCCTGCTACACCACTTGTCAAATTAAATTACCAAACACGACACTGGCGAAAAAACATCTGCGGCTATTTAAATGTTTACGTCATCAGAATTAATAGGAACAAAAAATACATTTGAGTAAATAATGTATTGGAATATCTATTTGAAATATATCCTGAAAGGTATTTGTGTGCTAAGTTTTAGTACTTCTGTTAGCAAGTACGATTTATCTCCCCATTGGCAAACATTGATTCGATCAGCGGGATCGGTTTTGTATTTGGATTTGAACCCAGATACATTTGCCATTGGCCCATCATTTAATGGTACTTTCTAAAAAAAAAAAGTTATACAGAAACAATACCACGAAAGCAAAAAGTTACCAAAGGCACAAAAAACGTACACAAATTCTTAGGATTCATGGGATGAAAAGAAAAAGATAATACTTCAAAAGTAGAACACTTAAGAGGACCATTAAACGTTCTCTTTGATTTAAAAAAATACTACAGCTGCTCAATATAGACGGGGATGTTTCTTTGAATTAAAAAAGTGATTCTAAAAGATACTCAAATGACGAACAGCGTTAAGTTTAATCATGGTTTAATCTATTGTTGATTACAAAACTCATCTAATTTACTTATCAACAAACTCACTGAGTTCGATTCAGTGGTTCCATACTGTACTGATAAAAGTAGGTACTGCATTTTTGTTGATTCGAAACTGGATTCATCTTTCCTTAATCATTAGGCTTTTAATTCATTTTCCTGACAACTAAAACAACTGATTTTGGTCAATAACTATCTCTACTAGGTATCTCACACATATTTTTACCTTCCATTCATTGCATGAGTTAAAATACACCCTAGTGGCATTCCCATCTTAAAATATTAATAGTGATTTTGATTTACAAATACGTTATTTAAACCCGCACAATCAAACATCATAATTATCTCCAAAGGCATTCCTCAGCCAATTGTATTGTCCTCAAGTCAGTCACTAGTCAGGTCTAGGGAGCACTTGTCGGGGTTTGTTTTGACAGATCGACTGTGTATGTGTGTGTGTAGGGGGGGGGGGAGAGAGGGAGTTGAGGAGTTACCAGAGGACGTGTGAACTCCCGCGGCAGTGACATCATCAACACAAGTGTTCCAAATCAGACAGCTGACAGCTGCAGACGACACGACCGCCGTGTTGCCGGATTGATAAAACTACGATTGTGACAAACCTGATTGTTTGGTTAAACAGCTGATCTTAGTCAGTTTCAAAGCTACACAAATCATCTGACTCTATTCTCAAATCATCCTCTGTCCCACTTCTCAGCAAATAAATTAAAATTATTTATGGTTTTCATTGATATTAATTTTTAAAAAGATCTTGAGGGGAAAATTGTACAATGGTCGATTATGTATTGTTGAAGCAACTAGTAGGATATTATAAACAATTGCAATTGCACACACATTTATGATGGATGTACAATAATGTTTTATCTCTCATGATGCAAGGTACGAACGTCGGTACATACGATAATTTGAGTATGCATCGTAATACAACTTTACTAATACAATCATTGAACAATGGAGTCTGACAAGACACGATAAAAACAAACACGACGATTTATGGTTTCACGATAATTGTACAGCACGACAGGATGGTACTTGTATACGAATAAAACAAAAATATTAAGTGGAGCACGATAATATGGTACAATTACGATAATTATTGTATGCAACACCATAATATGGTAAAACATACGATAATCATTGTAGCGCGACAGGTGGT